CAGGGCTTCTCTGAGACTTCAATTAATCCATTTGGATCGCCATTTGGGTCCATTTGGGTCGCCATTTGGGTCCATTTGGGTCGCCATTTGGGTCCATTTGGGTCCATTTGGGTCGCCATTTGGGTCCATTTGGGTCCATTTGGGTCGCATTTGGGTCCATTTGGGTCCATTTGGGTAAATCGACGCACCCCAAAGCGGATGTTTCGGAAAGCATGAAATGCAAAGAAATCTCGGGTTTTCGTCTATCAAATCTATTTAGCGGTACAACAAGGCTTCCTTGACTGAAAGAAGGCGATGGTGAGCTGTGTCATACTGAAATTACTCTGCCAACAATCACTCGAACGAAGGAATCACGATCGCATCACCATGATCACCCAACCCCACCATGCCCTCAACTCTCGTCTGATCTGCCCAGGTTTGTCTCTAAATTCAACCTTCTATTTTTTCTTCCGTAAGCATGGCAATTCTTTTTTATATAAATATTCAAAAAGGGGTAAAGGGCACTATAGCTATTAATCCGAGATTCCTCCGACTCTAACAATGTAAAAGCAGGGGTTAGAGTCAGAGGATAAATACAATACCGCAGTGATTGTGTATACGTGTATCACTATCAGTTGATCTTCACCTACTTCAGTTATATTCTATCATGTCTATAGATATATCATTTGAGACACTGTTATACATGTAACCCAAACAAGTAACTATCCTGTGATGCAACATCATGCAAGGTGTTGAACACTCTATAGAATTTTTTCCATCAACATACAGTTCAACATTTCACTAGTCTACACTACAACAAAAGTAATGCACATATACTTCACACCTAAAATTCTTCTGCATAAAACAGGGGTATTCATGAATTATTGCATCAATGTTTGTGCCTAAGTTGCTAAAATATGAAGCCTGCATTTTTATGTACATATATGTAGTTGTATCTGTCATGTATAATAGCAGAAATAGTTACATATTTGAGGCAGTCTTAGCAAAATCGGGTATACACTATACAGTATAATAGGGGAACTAAGACTGTCTCAAGTCCATGTGATATTTAATATACTATGGACTTTTGTGAGGACCACTAACTTTTACACTTGACGGCTTATTTTTAAACTAGGACAAATCCGACAATGTAGGCAAGCTGTTTTGAAATAAAAATATTTAGGTCAACATTTATTATCGAACAAAAATAACCGGCAGAAATTAAAGCACATATATAGAATCTGACAACCACTCTACCCTCAAATATTGTCCTTCACATGTTAGTGCCCCAAACACTATCTATAACCACTAGAAATGTTTCCTTGTTTTTTTTATAAATTCTGTACATCCGTACATGGCATAGGTTTAAATCTCAAAGTAAACCATCAAATGTAAAAGTCAGTGCTTTTCGCAAAAGTACATAATTATGTAGACAATACTTGAATGTGGAAATAGTCATGTTACTCTTTAGACTAGTTAATATAGCTCAAAATGTTTTGCGCATATTAAGCAATTATTTAATATTTAATAAAATATCAATGCAGATTTAAGAATACCACATATTTCATTACAAACATCTTCGCTAGCCAAGGTTTCCGATACGCTACTCTCCTCATGAGGCCAGCGAAGATGCCTTACAAAAAAATTCATGTACATGTATACTAAGAATAAACATGAGAAATCAATGAATGCTCCTCAGATGTATACAAATATGTATATTTTTTGAATAGGTATTCCTGTTTATGTGGACTCATGGCGTCAAGATAAAAGAGAATATAGAACATTTTATATCTGCTAAATGGAGCCTTGAGAAGAGGTACATTATAGAACTACAACTATAGGGATGGAGCTGACAGATGCTCTAAAGGCCAGTCTATAATATGATGTACCACTGCAGCCCTCTCATGTGGTGTCCTAACTTATGGATCATCCACTATCATTAAGGACACAGATGGTATCATGTGCCATGGAGGAATGAGCATCCACTACTGACCGGTCACACCCGCCGTGAGCTCCTTGCCTTGATCGAGAAATAACGAAAAAATCACTTCGCAATACAGTGTATAAATAATGGACTCACAATTGGTATGAAAAACGTCAGTCAGCATTTGACTCATCAATGATAAATTGTATTTGCCGACAAGGTCATTGTATCGACCATAGAACTTACGAAATGCTGACGTTAAAGGAGACTGCTGATATTCTTGTTTCATCAACTTGCTTGTCATTAATTTACCTCGTTTAAGAAATTGCTCATACATAGAGCATGCTTTTGCGTATCGAATCAAATGAGTAAATTACACTCCGTATGCAAATGATGAAGGTATATTGCTGCATACCTGGTAAGTAATGGAAGTTGACAATAGAAAAGTTAAAGTCATCACGTTTATCATATAGCTCTGTTGTTAGATAACCATTAACGTCTTTTTCACGTAAAATATCCAAGTATGAAACAGATATGTCAGACTGTGGTATCTTTTATCTCGACCTCTCCAGGACATATTATCGACGTAGGAATAGAAATAACCATTGTTAATTGACAGTACGTCGTCGATATATCTGAAATCGAGTTTAGGGCCAAAGCAAGACAGTGTTTTCTTCTTTTCATGAAGGATATGGAGAGTATTGAGTATTCAATCTCAAAGTCCATAAAACAATACAAAATTAGAGTAGAGCAAACAAGGACCCCCGAAACATCAGAGGTGGGATCAGGTGCCATGGATGAGTGAGCATCCTCTGCCGACCGGTCACACCCGCCGTGTGCTCCTTGTCATGATCAGGAAATAACGGAATAAATCCGTCGTCAATTCAGTGTATAAATAATGGACTAACAATTGGTATGAAAAACGTCAGTCAGCATTTGACTCAATGATAAATTGTATTTGCCAACAAGGTCATTGTATCGACCATAGAACATGCGAAATGATGACTTTAAACGAGACTGCTGATATTCTTGTTTCGTCAACTTGCTTGTCAATAATTTACCAAGTTTTAGAAATTGTTCATACGTAGAGCATGCTCTTGCGTATCGAATCAACTGAGATATACTGTATACAGGGTTATTTTTGCCCCGTTTAATTTTCGCCCTTTCACACTTGCAAACAATTTTGCCCCGTTTTAAATTCGCCCAATTATAGTTTTATTAAAAAAATTATACTGTATTATTTCATTTCGCCCCGTTTTAAATTCGCCCAAATGAGGGAAAGGCGAAAGGGGCGAAAATAAAACGGGGGCGAAAATTTCCCTGTATACAGTATATACTCCGTATGCAGGTGATGAAGGTATATTGCTACATAAGAAAGGAAAGTTGACGATAAAAAAGTTAAAGTCATCACGTTCATCATATAGTTCGGTTTTTAGATTACCATTAGTGTCTTTTTCAAGTACAATATCCAAGTATGAAACAGAAGTGTCGGACTCTGTGGTATCTTTTATCTTAAGCTCACCTGGATATATCGTATCGACGTAGGAATGGAAATTACCATTATTAATTGACAATACGTCGTCGATATACTAGTATCTAAATTTAGAGTTGAAGGCCACAGCAAGTATTTTCTTCTTTTCACGCATAAGATTTTGCATAAATTCTGCTTCATATGAATATAAAAATAAGTCTGCTAATAACGGAGCGCAATTTATACCCATGGGAATTCCAATAGACTATTGGAATACCTTGTTTCCAAAAACCACATAGATGTTGTCAATCAAAAACTCAAGCATCTTCTTGATGTCAACTTCAGAGTAATTATGTGTGCAATCAGAATCTCTTTTAGCAAAATAATTTTGCAAATGACCAATGACGAGGTAAGTAAATTTACGAGTCCCATTTTTATTGAAGAAGCAGCTGTCAGTGATATCCAAAAGCCTGAACTTTAATTTGTCGTAGGGAATCGCTGTGTATAAAGTTAAAAAGTCGTAAGTTTTAAAGCTGTTGATTTTTGTAAAGTCTTGTGATTCAAAAGCTAGTGTCCAAAAGTTCTTTAGAATTTTTTAGTATCCTCATCTGATTCACACCACTTCTTGAATATATAGTTGCACAGTACTCTTAAAGTTTTTCCTTCACTACTGTCAATATCTTAGTGAAGAGTAACGAAAGAGGCTTAGTTGAACATTTACTGGAACCTGCAATGTATCTTTGCATGTAAGGATTCTTATGAAGTTTTGGAATTCAATATATATAAGGTAGTTCAAATTCATTTTGGCTCTATGTATCTTTGCATGTAAGGATTCTTATGAAGTTTTGGAATTCAATATATATGGTTCAAAATATTGAAAGTATTCAAAACTGACAGATGATTTTGAAGAATTTCTTCCTTAGAAAGGGAAGTGTGAGTATAAGTAGGATTACCATTTGCAGAATTAAATCCAAGTTCTTCTAGAATGCAATTTATATTAAATGAGCCTTACAAACGAAGACAATGTGTTACCTGCTTCGTCGGCAGGAACCTATACGTACTGATCGTGCAATCTATCGAACTCCTTTTTCACTTCTGGTTTATTGAACACAGAAGGATATATGGTTTTCATATTGCCCCTCAATCTTTTAATACGGGACTTTAACATGGATCTGATACATTTAATCCATTCTGACAAGGTGTCAACGTCTTCTTTTTCATATCTTGCCCATCGTCTGGCGTAATTTTCCACAGAATCCATAATATTTATAAAATTCCGACGCCAGTTGAAGGATGCATGCATAAGATTTTGCACAAATTCTGCTTCATATAAATACAAAAATAGGTCTGTTAAAAACGGAGGGAAATTTACTTTAGGCATATTTTATTGAATAATACAATAAGGTTTGGTCAACAGGCAAGGCCTATATGTACACCCTCTCCTTAAGGTGGGAAATTTGTACCCGTTGGAATTCCAATAGATTGTTGGAAGACCTGGTCTCCAAAAACACATTTATACTGTTCATCAGAAACCCAAGCATGTTTTTGATGTTAACTTCAGAGTTCTTGTATGTGCAATCAGAATGTGTTTAAACAATAATTTTGCAAATGACCAATGACCAGGTCAGTAAAATCACATATTTATTGGAAAAGAAGCTGTCAATGATATAAAAAACAGTTGACTGTAATTTTATCGTTGGGAATGGTTGTGTATAAAGTTGAAAAGTCGTAAGTTTTTATGCTGTTGATTATGGTAAAATCTTGTGAAATCAAATTGTCCAAAAGTTCTTTGGAACTTTTGAGTATCCACATCTGATGAAATCCACTTCTTGAATACCCTAAAGCCTTGAAAATAAGCCGAGGCTTTTTTTTGGTAAGAAAGTGGGGGCTTATTTTCAAACTGGCTTATTTTCAAATTGCAGCTTATTATCAATGCAAAAAATTGACAGAGTAAGAGACGAGAGCATAATCATGGCTTATTTTCAATACAATCATTGAATAAAGTGTAATTGATAGAATAAGAACTACTTCTTCGATCTAAAATTAAAAAAATATCATGAATTTCATGGAATGTTTATAATAAAATAAAAAAATTAAAATAATACTGTGTTCAGTATCTTGCGTGTAGCAAAAATACTATAAAAGTGGAAAGTTTTACAAGGAGGAAACATTGAGGATTTTGATGAATAACTGTAGCTCGTCAAAGTTTTCTCTCGTCAATTTTTTAATCATTGTCATTCATCGGTGTACATTTTTTAAAGGTTATGGTGTAATCAATTGTCTACTTTATATTTTGTGAATGCTGATCACAAAAAGGTAAATTTCATTGTATACAGCACACAAAGAACGAGGGCGCTTTTGATTGGCATTTGGCAGGATAGAATAATTTTTTTTTTCAAATTAGCAGTAATCTCAGTCTTCCTTCAGAGTTTGACCTCTATATAAAGAGGGGCCTTTGTTTCCAGAGATGACGTATACCCCAGCATTTTACTGGCCACCTCTTCGTACGTATGACCTAATTCCAACATATCACACACCCAGTCGTACTTCTGTCTCTTGGCAATGTATGTGTCCATCGAGACCTTTAGCCTTTCCTCTAAAAACCCACCATTAATCTTCATTTTCTGGAGTTTATTTACTGCTTTCACAAAGGCATTCAAAAGACTGAGCTGATTAGAAAAGTCTAAGGGAAATAACTCTGGAACAATTATTTTATGGATAAGGAGCAGTGCCAAGGCTGATGATATCAATTCTAGGACCTCATCGCCAACCTTCTTACCTGATACAGAAAGAGAAATAAAAAAAAATCGTGGTTAGCCTTATCATACATGAGTAAAGAACTTTTTCCTAAAATTAAATAAAAAGAACAGAATATTTTATTAAAGTAAGAAATTTGAAAAAAAAATTGGCCTGTATGTTCCATAAAAAGCAAGAATATATATTGAAAGAATTCTTTCTTAGCATGTCAGAATTTATTTAAACCTATCACTAAATATTTAATTTATGGTGTCCTACTTTTCCCATTTTTCAAATAATTAGTTTTTTTCATGTACAACGTACATGATTTTCCAACAAAACATAATTTCTCATTCTTAGTGCACATACCAAGTGAATTTAATCCTGCTCCTTGCAAAATATCCATGCATTTTGTGATGTCAATTCCAAAAGTCTTCTCCAAATTCGCACCAAGTTTCCATAAATTGTTCTGGTGATGAAAACATTTATTTAAATCTAAGCACATTTATTATATGCAAAACACTGGCAGTCAAATACTCATAACATATGTATATAAATATACCTATATTATGTTTTAAGTTCAAAGAAAGCTGTATTAATAAATTTTAAAATATTAAACCCACACATATTATGCACACATGTTAAAGAAAGTTATATATACATGCGTAGTCTGAAATACAGTGTATTGAAAAATTCTTGAAAGTATTTTATATTGAGGGTCAACCTAATGGTGAAAGAATTTTTTTCACATGGCTTTACAAGTTTAGAGAATATTTCTGTTTAAATTCTGATTTTGACCTCTATTAATTAATGCTTCTAACCCCCCCCCCCCTCCACTCCAAAAAAAAAAAAAAACTTCACATAGTAGAGGAACTGAATATACCATTATGAACAAAGAATGCTGTATTAATTTATAATGTTAAAGCTTCAAATATTCTGAGTAAAACATTACCTCTTGAATATTAAACATGGCTTGTAGTGAAGATATATTCAGTGGCAGGGTCTCCTTAAGAACACTGCTGACAGATGAACCAATACCATAAGTGTTGACATCAAAAGCTGATGAATACAAAAGATATTCTTATGGTATATCAGAATCAAACATTCACAAAATTTCATTGTATATGTAAATGAAGCTGTTATTTTGCTTTCTATAAATGATTATCACCTTGGTCACTTTTCTTAATAAGGTATATCACCTACCTATCTCTTAACTACAGTTTCAAGAGGCTTTTTGGCCACAACATCCTCTTTAATCTTCTAACACTAAACCCTATATGATGAACACTATTCTACGTTTTTTTTATAAAATGTTAAAACTTAACCTCTGTTTTAGCCGCAATCAAACTATCGGGATCAAAAAGAACTGCTTTTCTTTAAAAAACATTAAAAAAAAAGTTTCCATGAACAAGATATGAAAATGTCACTATTAATTAGGTGTCACCAAGACATAGAATTTCACTGTATTTATATGATTACATGCTTATATAATTAGTTTAGAGCAAAATTTTTCTGTAGTACATTTATCAGAATTCTTTTAAAGCACTTTCCATAATGGTCAGTTTTGTTGTATCTTTCGTGACCCATTGTATGTGGTGTCACAATATGAAAAAAAAAATAACACTGAGACCAAAAAAAATTAATGAATAGTTTCTCAGGTCAAAAAATTTGAAATTCAATGCGGCAGGTAGGCTTTTTTTTAAGCAGGTTGTAAAGTCAGGAAAATATAATCATCAAGAAAAAAATAAGTAATGTCTGTTTAACTTTTATCATAAAGAGTGCACAAAATTACCTTTTTCTGCATATCCTGCTGGCAAGGCAGGCAGTTGTGAAGTCTTTCGCATTAACTAAAAAAAAAAATCAACAATATTTTCATTCAGAAAATAATAATTACCTTGATATTTTATGTAAGGTTTGATAATCTAAAGATGTAAAAAATAAAGAAGCAACATTTAGTTTAAGATTCTTATAAAAATGTTAAGGATAGATATGTTGCTTATCACTAAAACAGACCCAAAAAATTTGACAATCAACAAACAGTGATGAGAATCTAGGACAAATCATGTCAGTCTTGTTCATTGAACCATGTCCTCAGGATGACCAATTTACATAAAATATAGGTCTCTATGCAGTATAAAACAATCTACAAATCTATCTGCCAATAAATCAAAGGAATATAAAGATACTTTTAAGGAATTACTGCTACATAAATGATGATATTGTTCAAAAGTTTTGTCTGATCTAATTGCAACCCAATCACATATCTTTAGGGAACATCTCACATATTAATAAATATTTGTAATATTGAAAGTACTTGTAGTAAGATGATCAATGCTACACAATAAGCATGGAGTCTAATGAAAAACGACTATGTTAAGCTAATCTGACTACACAGGGGTAATAAGGAAGCATACAAAATATTCTGTCATTCGTGACAAAAATAATGCAACAGAACAACAATAAGCTGAATATTTCAAAACACAAGATTTATACAGATGGAAAGTTTGCCTTCTGACAAACTTGGACAGTGCTGCTAGAATCCCGAGTTAAGCGTGGTTTTACGAAAAATCTTGGTTCATATGTATAAAATTCAAAACATAGGGTAAGGTTTCGTACGAATGTGTGGAAAAATTATTTTACTGAAAGGACAGTGGGATTCTAGCTAGCAGGACTTTTTAGGAAAAATATATGTTTTTCAACTATATTATTAACTCAAAGAAATTATTCCACTCCGGGGTATTGATGTTCTGTTAGCTTTTTTTATTAAGGAAAATTTCGCTATAAAAAGAAGTCACGAGATGCCGTGGCGGTGGTGCACGTCTTTGCGTTAGACACTCTTTTATCTGTATGCAATAGTTAATAACATTTTATCTTTATCAGCGGTTTTGGTAATGTATCCAACTTTATTTTTCTTTTAAATTTTCCGAGAAATGACTTAATATATGCTTCCTTAACATACCCGCGTATCTCAAAATCAGATAAAGATTGTCCATGCAGCTTCATTGTTACTAGCTAGAAGGTCGACTGCCCACTAAAATGTACTTTTTTTAGACCTACAGCAGGGGCTGCTCACTCCTCCAAGGCACCTAATCACACTTTGATGCTTTGGAGGTCTGTGTTTGTTCTTCTCCTATTTTGTATTGTTTTATGGACATTTGACCTTGAAAACTGCATTTATCTCTGAGTCAATATATTTCATTTTTAAATATCACCAGAAAGAAACACAATTAATATAGAAGTCAGAACACTGTATGTGAATAATGCTTACACGACTCTGAGCGCAGAGACCTGATGTCTGTTACTTTTACAGTTGTTATTCCGTTGGCGTCAATTTCTACAGTGACCCTGATCCATGGGCTGCCAGGAGAAGAAGTCAAAATATTTTTCTAGAAAAAAAAGTTATTTAATTAGAAAGATATGTAATATTCTTCCATATTGATTACTTAAATCAAAGTTACAAAAATACATTGGATAAAAAAAAATCTCTTCAAAACTTAAAATTTACAATCCACTAGTAAGTAATTATTACTATTTACATAATATTTCTAATATCAAGGGATCATCATGATGTAAGCTTAAAATTCAAAACCGGTTCATCTTTTACATACATGTATTATCAAGCTTATCTTGACTTACAATCTGAAGCTGTCCCAGAAAATGGTTCTTCTTGGCCTCATTCATGCACCCTTCATAAACCCTGACATCTACTCTGTTTTGTTTGTCATTAGAACACGTAAAATTCTAAAAAAAAAAAAAAAACATAAATATTTTAAACATCTATTACAATAGATATACTAATACAAATAAGAAAATAGGTTTTTGTGACAAGAAAAATTGAAGCATTTTGTAAAATAAGGTTATTTGAGAAGCATTATATAAGCAAACTTCTTATGTATAAACTATTTTCTTGACATCTTACTTCTTCAAATAGATTTCAAGAATTAAACCTGTTCTTTCCGACAAGGAATTGTGGTGTTTCTGGCAACAATGACACAGAGATTTCCCTCTGCATCCTCTACCCCTATAGAAAGTGGAGTGACATCCAACAGCAATAGCGAATGAGACTCCTAAATATATAGTACATAAATTGATAATACAAAGAAAGTCAAGAACAATTACTGTAAATTGCTATAAATACACGGAATACACAAGGTGCTTAGTCTCCTAATCAATCATATTATGTCATGTGGAAAACCCATGGGAAAACAAATAAAATATCTGGCTTTAAATATTTTTCCTAAGAGCATACATTCACCACTGATAATTTTTGAAGATATTCTTAATTTAAGATAATGATTATAGTGCCATCAGGTGTTCTTAGACAAAAAGAAACTTGCATGCATAAACATGAATTTCGAAAAGATATCAATTGATAAAAATTTTTGTACATTAATTCAAAAAAACACGTATCAAAAAGACATAACATATATTCTAGATGTGTTGTTAATCCACTTTTGTTTTAAAAGAAGTATAGGACAGCATATAATTACTAGACATTTATTTGTAGCGTACGGTTACTTTAAGTATTGGATCTCTTCAACTCCAGGGGATAAGACAATAAGAGGCCCAGGGGCCACAGCACTCACCTGAGCACATCAGCTAGGAAAAAACACATATCAGATCAGAACTGAAAGTTAACTTAAGTTGGGGGGGGGGGGGGGGGGCTTGAATTTTAACCCCCAAGGGGACCATAATTTGAACGGACTAGAATCTATATTACCTGAGGATGATTCCATAAAAATATTACTAATCATGGCTTTGAAGTACTTGAAAAGAAGATTTAAAAAGGTTTTCCTATATATTCCCATGTAAAACTTAAATCTACTCTACCTGAGGATGATTCTATATGAGTTTCATATTTCCTGGTCCAGTGGTTCTTGAGAAGAAGATTTTTCCTATATATTCCTATGTTAAACTTTGATCGGCCATTTTGGCCCTGACCTACCCCCGGGGGTCATGACTTGAACAAAGTTGAATCTACACTACCTGAGGATGATTCCACATGAGTTTCATCTTTCCTGGCCCAGTGGTTCTTGTGAAAAAGATTTTTGAAGATTTTTCCTATATATTCCTATGTAAAACTTTGATCGGCCATTTTGGCCCCGCCCTACCCCCGGGGGTCATGATTTGAACAACCTTAAATCTACACTACCTGAGGATGATTCCACATGAGTTTCATCTTTCCTGGCCTAGTGGTTCTTGAGAAGAAGATTTTTAAAGATTTTTCCAATATATTCATATGTAAAACTTTAATCGGCCATTTTGGCCCTACCCTACCCCCGGGGGTCATGACTTGAACAAACTTGAATCTACACTACCCGAAGATGATTCCACATGACTTTCATCTTTCCTGGCCCAGTGGTTCTTGAGAAGAAGATTTTTTTAAAATGCCAATAATTTTTCTCTAATTCATGATTATCTCCCCTTCGAAAAGGGCATGGCCCTTCATTTGAACAAACTTGAATCCCCTTCACCCAAGGATACTTTGTGGCAAGTTCGGTTGAAATTGGGCCAGCGGTTTTTGAGAAGAAGATGAAAATGTGAAAAGTAAACAACAACGACAGACAATCACAAATTGTGATCAGAAAAGCTCACTTGAGCCTTTGGCTCAGGTGAGCTAATAAAGATCAAACTATGTTATATATGTCATTAAAATCTTTTGGAAGGAGTTTTTTGTATTAATGCATATTCAGGAATAATACAACATATATAACAATTCTTTCATCAACAATCTCGACTGAAAAGCTAAGAATTAATACCACATTGGATTAAAAACTGATAATGTACGTGAAATACACCCGTTTAAAGTGGGAAAAAATAACGCACAGTATTTATATAATAACAACATGTTTGTAAAACTTGAACAATTAACACAATCTAACGTAACAGTTAATTGACTAAGATGTCTCACCAGTTCCATTTGCTTTCTTGAAGAAGACCTTTCCATTAAACTTGAATGCGATATGTCTTGTGAACATTCCAACAGTAGTGCTTCCTTTAGTGCTTCAATGTCCTCTTGTGTCACCTTTTTGTGTCTTTTTTTCATTTTTTTGTCAGACATTTCATCTCCAATTTCCTTTTGTTTTAAAAAACTCTGACGCAAATTTTCTTGCTGAAAAGGCACCGCAGCACTGCTACTGCTTCCTATAACGAAATCAATGGAATATACGTAGATTGCAAAAAACAAGAACTTTTTAAAACTGAATTTATATTTATAAGGCTGTTTTATTATTACATAACTTAAATACTTATTAAAAACACAGTATACTCCACTCTGTTCTAAACTACACTTGGTTCCATCAATGGACAGCTACCTGATAAATGCATTGTATGTGTGCTGAATGGAGGTCATAAACAAATTTCAATATCGCAAGGGCATACCCTAGTTGAAATTAAAATATGAAGTACTAACCAATGGCATTTGTTTCTGCATACTTTGTACTTTTTGGAAAGTACAACTGCTTTAAATAGAATTTCCATTTTATATTTGTTAAAATTTCAAGTAAAAAATATGCCCATGTCGAAACATGTTTGACCTTATAATAACCAAGTATTTTATGTCCTTAATATTAATTCACACTCTTGATTTAAAGAAAGCATCAGCACTTTTCAAGTCAAGGAATTAACCATCCTTTATTTATATTCTTAAAATGACTAATATCTATTGAGTGTATGCCGTTGCGAAAATGTGATTTAATTAGCCACCTCAATGTTAATTATGTCAAATCTGTACACATAAACACTGTAAAATTAATTACAAACATTCTCTCGCTAATCATTGAATCATCACACTAAACAAAGGTTTTACACTAGCCTATCTGAAATCTGTAAATAATAATCTCTTTAATAATAAAATGCATTTGTACACTGTAAAAAATATACTTAATCTGCCTTTCACAGCACATACAATGTGTCATTTTTACCGAGATGACGTGATGTCGACAAGTGAAATGTTGTAATTACAAAAATTAAAATGAAGTAAGGTAAATTGGTTAATGATTTTATTTTCTTGACTATTAATCAAGAAAAAAATGACTTGAAAGAAATTCTGATCTAAAAAATAAATAAAAGAAATTAAGTAAGAATTACAGTATGGTGCATGTAGCTCAAAGACCTTAACTACAAAACCTTATACATAAAACAAGTGTGTGACTAGATTGAATACTTCTTCTTACTAATTGTTATTCCATTATTTAATATACAGATTTTTCCATTATTTCCCAATCATGACAATAAGCAAACAGCGGGTGTGACGGTCAGCAGGGGATGCTCTCCCCTCAGTGGCACCTGATCCCCCCTCTGATGTTTCAGAGGTCCATGTTTGCTCTGATCATTTTGTATGGTTTTATGGACTTTGATATTGAATACTGTTCGTTATCTCTATATCCTCCTTGAATTTATTTTGAACTCATTTAAATATATATTATGAATAATTGAACGTGGCAACACAAAATTTGACAATTCAGTACAAATTAAAATTTCAATTTTTGTTAGCTAGACTTTACTTCTTTTAGCAATGAGTATGTAACACTGGTGCCTCATTTAAAGTGAAGAATGTAATCTGTTTTAAAACTTACTTCTCCTTGACCTATTACGTCTGAGAGGGGCTAAATCAGGTTTGGGGGGCGCTCCTATTTCGTGCCCAGGTGGACATTGAGAAGGTGGAGCCCCATCTTGTGGTGCTGCCATATACATCTGGGTAGGAGGTGGAAGGGGAGGTTGTGGTCTCCCTGCAGATGGTAATGCCATAGGTGGTGGTGGGGGAGCCACTACAGGTGGTACTGCCATAGGGGGTGGAGGGGGAGCCCCTGTAAGTGTTGCTGCCATAGGGGGTGGTGGGGGTGATGGGGGAGCCAAACTTGCTCCAAATTTTGATGGCCGCAAAATCGGTTTAATGGATGTAGGAGGGGGTGGAGGGACAACATTTCCGTGTGTTTTCTTTGATGGTTGTGGTTGAGGTCCCCCAGGAGGAGCTGCATCCATAGCGTGCATTTCAAATCCGAAACCTCCAAACATTTGTTGTTGGGGCATTGGGGGTTGAGTGACTGGACCTCCAAAAATTTGTTTTTGGGGCATTAAGTGTTGAGTGATTGGACCTCCAAACATTTGTTGTTGGTGCATTACGGGTTGAGTGATTGGACCTCCAAACGCACTGTTTAAAGACATTTGCTGTGTCTGTCCCCCAAATGGTTGTCCAAAACTAAATCCAAAAGTTTCACTTTTTCCGGAAACTAATGCAGATTGATTTGCAGTGTTTACAGTGGATGGTACGGGTGCCCCAAAGGCAGCAGAAGACCCAAAACGTTGCGCACTTCCGAATGGACTGCACGCAAATCCTGCTGATTGAGGTGGGCCTCTACTTCTAGGTGACGCAAAGTCTTCCAAACTTTGTTGTTCTAATTGGTTTCCAAAAAGCGTGAATTTTTCAGAAACGGATGGTGGAGGCGATGGTGGTGCAGGAACCGGTTTATCTTTCATTTCTCGTCTTTCCTTGATGTATCCACTACTCTGTAATATAAAAATTTTACTTTGAATTCGAAAAAGATCAACAATGTTCATAACTTATCAGAAATGTAAACCATATTTCAAAAGTAAAACGTTTGAAAAATGTATTTTCTTGCCGATACTTTGGTTAATCAAAATATCATGCTGACATTAATCAGTTGCTTAATCGTGTTAATTTTCCTTGGCATATATAAAACTTTCTTTTTTGTTTGGTTGTATGTTGTTTTTAATGTCTCGATCGAAATTTTTTCACTCAAAATTGAGAAGCCACTACTTTTAAAAGTGCATTGAGATGTATGTAACACAATATCTCCATTAATCAAAGGTTTTAACAATGCGAAAATCTATAGCTCTCTGGCTGTTTTGGCACCTAATGTGGGCCCATGCTCCTAATAGCACTAGCACTAGCTAGTGGGTAAACCCTATAGCTCAGTCCGTAGAAAGTTGGATTTTATATTTGAGGGTTGTAGGTTCGAACCAGTGTAAACACCCCAAAGCTAATTGGTCATACGTGTAATTTGTTTCAGACCTTATGAATACAGGTCACATGTTGCACTTATTGTTGTATTGAAAACAATCTCTAATTATTCCATGTCTCTGAGTACCAATTATAGGTATAAATCTGTAGCCCTCCACCTGCAAGTGGTGGCATCCCCTTATGAATAAAAAATTCTAAGGAGAAACGGTTAACAACAAACAAACGAAATTGTACCATTTGAAAGTATGACACAGCAATAAGTAACTTTTCTGAAATGGGACTCTGTACTATCTCAGCAACGAGTTTCCTTTAGCAGATTAGACAAAAAAGTAGGATTACATGAACTTGTTAATCTAAAACATTTCTTTATACTGGTATAACCTAGAGACAGACAGTCACTGTAAAAAGTACCTTCTTCATGTTCATTGAACATAGTGCTATAACTTCTCCTCTCTCTCTGCGCTTGTTTGCTTCCTCTTCAAACGCTTCCTCATCCGAGTCACTCAACGATTTGTCGTCCTCCTCCTGTTAAATAAAGAAGAGGGAACGTCTTCACCACTGCCTGTCTTTTTCATGATTAATCTTCCTTATTCACACATTTCTTACAGTTTTTTTCAGTTTTTATGCCTCATTTGATTGGATAAAAAATTAATCTATATTGTTTAGCCTGTGCTGCCTACATCACTATAACTTGCATAAAAAATGTATGTATCCGCTTTACGTTACATTAAAAATTTATAATATACACATTTTGATGACATTTCTGTCACAATCAAAATTTAATTATAATTTTATTTACATAACGGTTATGGTTTTTATTTTATTTACCCTTTACTGGACCTCTTCTTATTGTTACCTTTATTGAACCTAAAGTTAAGTTTTGCAGGCATTGGTCAGTTACGACCTATTGTATAGAGGGTATTTAAATCGCTGCATAGCTGACCAAGTAGCCGGGGTCCACGTTTTGATAGATTTTTTACATGCCATGCTTGAGGTACCACAAGATGTGTAGCTAAGTAAGTTATCAACGGTAACCATTTCTCCATAAGGGGTAAGTTTGTTTTTTATTATATAATTTTTGAGTACTACATTTAAGACGGAAAGCTATGTACAAATTTGAGTTAAGTAATGTTTTTGTCACTGTTTACGTATACAGGTTTTGCTGGGTAGAGTTACTCATGCGTGTATAGTTCTATTTTTGTGCAATGTACTAAGTTATGTACGCACGTAGGCTATTTTGTTTTGCGGCTTATAAAGTCGGTGTTGTGGGTTTAATAGTTAAAACCACTTTTGTTAAGATGTTGTGTATTCTTAACGTTTTTCTTATTATAATAGTGTTCGGTTAGAATTACCGCTACTGTTTTGTATGGTGTGCCATAAGTGCAACTGTAGTCAATGTTGACATGTTATTTTTAGTATACGTAACTTGCGACTTAAAATATTATTTAATTTAAAGGTTCCAGAGATATTCCAGAGATATTCCAGCCATATTCTATCTATAAGGGCTATTTTGTGTGGACACGTGGTACCAGCGTTACCTGGACCGGAAACCCACTGGGAGCCAGTTGGCGGGAGTCCGTCGTGAAACGGGGAGAGTCAGGACGCGGTCGCGTGGTACACAGGAATTGATATGGATATATAAAGACTTTAAGTGAAATTTATTGTAGATAATTTTGTAAAAAAATATGTTGTAAATATTGCTTTTATTGATTTTATTTATAGATAAAAAATTGTAAATAGAAAAAAAAATCTTGTTTTTACTGACTGAACATTCTTATTTCATTAAACATGAAGGAATATATTAATCACTAATAAATGTTGTTCAGTTGTCCTAAAACTTAAGTATCAGTTGAAATGGACAAATAGAACTATTGCTGGACAAATAAAATAAGTTTTCCATTAAGAAATTAAGAAAACCTTTCAAGTAGAACAAGAAATCTGTGAGCCAATGCTCACTAGTAATACCCCCGCTCTGATGTAAATAAGCACTATCATGTTAAAATACACAAGTTCAATTACAGGCAGATGCACAGAAAAATATGAAGTTGACATCAGATTCATATCAAAATAAATCCCACCATATGGCATGCCTCAACAAAGAGTGTAATAAAATTTCAAGCATCCGCTATAAATAGCTAATGAGAAAACTGCGACAAAGATTTGTAATGTATGAAACAGACAGACGCACAGGCAAACAGGATATTGATATCCGAGATTAGCGAAAATATATCCCACCATATGGCATGCCTCAGAGAAGATTGTGTTAAAATTTCAAGCATCTATGATGAGTAGTTGCTGAGAAAACTGCGACAAAAATTTGTTATGTATGAAATGGACAGACGCACAGACAAACAGGAAGTTGACATGGGATTTGAACGAAAATGTATCCCACCATATGACATTCCTCAGAGAAGGTTGTGTTAAAATTTCAAGCATCTATGATGAGTAGTTGCTGAGAAAACTGCGACAAAAATTTGTTATGTATGAAATGGACAGACGCACAGACAAACAGGAAGTTGACATCGCATTTGAGCAAAAATGCATCCCACCATATGACATTCCTCAGAGAAGGTTGTGTTAAAATTTCAAGCATCTATGATGAGTAGTTGCTGAGAAAACTGCGACAAAAATTTGTTATGTATGAAATGGACAGACACACAGACAAACAGGAAGTTGACATCGGATTTGAACGAAAATGTATCCCACCATATGACATTCCTCAGAGAAGGTTGTGTTAAAATTTCAAGCATCTATGATGAGTAGTTGCTGAGAAAACTGCGACAAAAATTTGTTATGTATGAAATGGACAGACGCACAGACAAACAGGAAGTTGACATGGGATTTGAACGAAAATGTATCCCACCATATGGCATGCCTTAGAGAAGATTGTGTTAAAATTTCAAGCATCTACGAGGAGTAGTTGCTGAGAAAACTGCGACGAAAATTTGTTTCGGACGGACACACAGACAGACAGACAGACGGACGGACAGACAGACAGACACACAAGGGTAAAACAGTATACCCCCCTCTCCTTCGGAGCGGGGGTATAATAATGACCATAGGACATATCATGTTCTAACCTGGCTCACTAGTTATTTATCATGAAAGACTGAATAAGTGTATGTGATTTGATGAAAATTTCTTTAATTAAGTTTCTTGTTTGATCTCTTCTTGGACAAAGACATCATTCAATAAGTCAAAAATACTCTCTTCCATGTTTGTTCACTTAAAATATTAATTTATTTTTAAAATTTAAATAATGGAGTAAAAAAGATGGTAATCTTTTACTGAAATACTTACAGTCTGAATACAAGCTCTACGCTGAAGGACGCTGAAGACAAAAGATCCTGGCGACCTTCTACAGTGGGCTTTTCAGGCCGAGGTGGGATTTTCTTTAATGACTGTCCTGTAGTTATGGACTGCAATAGAGACTGTCGATCTCCTCCCCCTCCCCAACCTACTCCCCCACCTCCTCTGCTCTTCACTATACCCCCCCTCGCTGGTGGTGGTGGTGGTGGTGGTGATTGAGATTTTTCCTGAAATTTTTATTTTATTTATTCATAGTCATATCACAGCAAAAATCTTTTGTTGATGTTTTTTTTTATCTTGATCAAACTTGAATCTGTGCTTTGTGAATATTATATTCATCAAATAATGTTTTTTTTAAAACATTTGAAGATGATTTACTCATGTTACTCATATTACATGTAATATGTTATGCCCATCCTACTCCTGTGGAATATTTTGAAAAAAAAATATCTTATAGTAATTTTGTCTAAATCTGTTGTTCTTTAACAATACTTTAAATGATGATCCACCATATTCAAAGTTTTTTTTTTTACTTCTGATGATCAAATCTCAATGAAAGTGAGCATCAATAAGAGTACTGTAACAATACCCTATTCTTAATTTTTCAAAAGAAACAGTACATTAGTCAGATTGCTGTACAAAATATTTTGAGAAAACATTTATTTTCTTGAAATAATATTTCTGATAAAGTACCTGGTGACTGCAATACAGTGTTATGTAAAAATTTCATTTTAATCATGTTAATCAAAGATTTATGTGATGACCTATAGGTAAGGTGCAATACCTTCTACATGTACTAGTAAATAAGAATCATTAATTGTTAAGTTTGATAATTCTAGGTCTAATAGTTATCCTTTTAAGAGCTGGACATAATTTTGTCATATTTTTTGGTTATTATATCATCTTAAATAAAGGTCACAGTGACCTACTTTAATGTGGACCATATGAACCAGGCATGAAATAGCTAACAAACAGATAGATGGACAGACATAAATGTCGTGCATAACACATCCCATGTAACAAAATAGGATGAAATTATTGTGGAGAATAAATGATTAATAAATGGAAATAATAATAATAAAAAAATGGTAAAAAATATTAACTACTTCTGCAGAACTTACTAGCTGAAGACTGCCTCGCTGTGGAGAGACCTCCATCATCAGTAGATCTTCCCCTGTAGAAGGCTTATCATGCTGCTGATATCTGGCTTTCCTCGGGGGCATGGCTTTTGCTGAGAACATCATAAGGTCCCCTCCATCTTCTCCTCCTCCTCCTCTTTCCTCACCCCCGCTTTCTCTCGCCAGTGCTCGTGGTGCTGGTCTTTCCTCACCCCCGCGTGCCAGTCGTGCTGGAGCACGGGGTGGTGGAGCCCCAGTAAGTGCACAAGAAGGTGGTCGATCTCGAGATGGTATTGGAGGTGGTTCTCTAAACTGAAATTTTTAGTTTCATTTATTATTGTTTGCTTATGTTAAAAACTACTCCTTAATAAAGAAGTGAAACAATTTTATAACTTTGTATGTCTCAACTTTAGCCTGCCCTTAGGTTTAATTGTTTACCATGTAAATAGTCCTCATTATTATTATGAATATTAACTTAATTTAGTGATCATGACAATTGTAAACCTGAGTATATCAAATCTTTTCACTGATGATCTGATGTCAAAGAATGAGCTGTTAACATTAACATTTCTAATTAACATTAACAACAGTCTGAATGGATAGAGTTTTCTTGATATGTGTGTAAACAACATTTAAAATTGAAATTGGAAATTGTAACTTCTGTTTTCAAATAAGATCAATAAATTAATAATTAAAAGATAATTTCATTAGGCAACAGTTCTTTTTCGAATTTAAAAAAGAAACCAGAAGTCTCTGTTGAGACTGTAGCTCTACTGGTTTATACTTAAAAAAAAGGAAGAGAAAAGTAGCAGTTGTGACTTGAGACTCCAAAACAGGAATCAATAGAAAAATGATCCTTGACACTCAACAAAATAAAAACTGATGCACAGAATTATGTATCTTAGTGTAGTTTACTTGTTTGCCGTGTTATATTAAAATCAGACCAAAACTAAAGGAGGAGTAGCATTTGAAAGAATTTCACAGAAATTTCTATTTTTAGTAACAATGGCAACACTGTTCATCAAAATCAAAAACCGATGCACAGAATTATGTATCTTAGTGTAGTCTACTTGGATGCCACATTATATTGAAATCAGAACAAAAATGGTGGGCGAGTAGTATTTAAAATAAAATTTCACGGAAATTTCTATTTTTAGTAACCATGGCAACATCTTTCATCGAAATCAAAAACCGGTGCACAGAATTATGTATCTTAGTGTAGTTTACTTGTGTGCCACGTTATATTGAAATCCGACCAAAACTGTAAGAGGAGTAGCATTTGAAAGAATTTCACAGAAATTTCTATTTTTAGTAACCATGGCAAAACCATACATGTACATCGAAATCAAAACCCAATGCACAGAATTATGTATCTTAGTGTAGTCTACTTGTGTGCCAAGTTATATTGAAATTGGACCAAAATTATAAGAGGAGTAGCATTTTGAATGTTCACAGAAATTTCAATTTTTAGTAACCATGGCAATACTGTTCATGGAAAACAAAAACCGATGCAAAAAATTATGTATCTTAGTGTAGTCTACCGTATATACTCGCCTATAAGTCGGTATTTTGGGAGTAAAATATTGGTCTAAAACTCTATGTCCGACTTATACGCGAGTCATAAAGAGATTGGTATTTTTCTGGAGGCTAAAATGTAGTATGATGTATCTCATTTGCATCTCCGACAATTTTTAAAGAAAATGTCTGGAAAGTACAAGTATTTTCATATTTTAATAGTTTTATTTGTATCTTAAGTAAGCAATGTCTTTTTTGAATAATGTAAGATTAGATATAAGTGTCATTTCGAAAAATATAAATTGAAACCAGGTTAAAACATCAATGGATTTACTTGAAATTGTCACCAGATTTTGGCAAAAAATTGTACCGACTTATAAGCGGGCCAATAGCAAATCCCTTCAAAATAACGTCAAAAAATACAACCGACTTATAGGCGGACCGACTTATAGGCGAGTATATACGGTACTTGTGGGCCAAGTTATATTGAAATCAGACCAAAACTCTAATAGGAATAGCATTTTGAAAAATTGTTTACAGACAGACAGACGGACAGCTAGACAGACGGACAGACGACGGACGCATTACTATCGCATAAGCTCTTCTGGCCTGGGGGCCATAAAACTTAGACGAGCTTACTTTTGATCTCAGTCTCACTTTTCCACTATATATTCCTTTGGAAAAAGTGAGACTGAGATCAAAAGTGAGCTCGTCTAAGTTTTATGGCCCCCAGGCCAGGTCTCTGACCAGTAGAGCTAAAAAATCATATTAGATACAGCTCCACACTTTAAAAAGTACAGTAAATGTTAAAATACCATCATGATCATGTTTATATTAATTTTTCAGTTATATTTCTGCTATTTCTTTGCATATTTAGAAATTATAAAATAAACAAGTTAAATTATGAGGGATATGCTATTCAGCACGGCAGCTTATCCAAATGACATTCTCTAAACTTAGGCGAACTGCTCATCACATTCATTAACTCCAGGAAAAATAACAGTCATGCAAATGCATTGTTTCATGCTCTTAAAATCACAAAATATTATCCATGAAAGGAAAGGCTCCTTTTTAGAGCTTTTTGGGGACACTTTTTAACAAAGAAGCTCACTTGTACCTTGGAGCATGCAGGAATTATATATATATTTTTATTTTAAGAAAGAAATCTTAAAAAAGCTTAAACATGTTAAAGATAGGCTGTACCTGACTCTTCAGTTGATCCTTTCCTATCTCAGCCATCAAAGACTCGTACTGAAAAAAAAAATGAAAATTAAAAAAAAAAAAACATGTGAAGACTTCCCTTGTAAAAAAGCTCAATTGAATCACTGAAAAAAAAAATTAAAAATAAAAAAAATGTGAAGACTTCCATTGCAAAAGAGCTAAATTGAATCACTTTGGTCCTAGCTGTTGATTGACAAAAATGTTCAATAAATTAAAAATAACCCTCTCTTTTACATGTTTTGACACAACCTTGTGGTCTGCTCTGTTTAGACACAACCCTGTGGTATACACTTGTCTTGCAGGGTATAATGCACATAGACATCAGACTTCTTTGCTATCAAAATGACCAATAAGATGTTCTGGAGAGGTTTTGCCCTATATATATTCCATTTATCCCAACCATATACTCTGCCCTATGTCCCCATGTAACCCCATTTTTCTCAAGTTTAGAGGGGCTTGAGTATTAAAAGAGAGAGAGAGAGAGAGAGAGAGAGAGAGAGAGAGAGAGAGAGATAAAAATATTTCTAGAAACAAAAATGAAGCTTTCTTAAAAACGTTGTATATTCAAAGATATTAAGTGTTAAATAGCGGATTATTTTCTATGACGAATGAACAATGAGTGAAGCGTCGCAGCCGCAACAGTTTCAACAGAGATTTCACGCTTTCCTTTGCGTATGAATCTCAGGTAACTTTTTACAGTCGCCGACAAAGCATCCTTGGACGAGTCCACTGCAGACTCTGAAAGGTGACGCAGGTTACCCCATCGTCAACAAATTCTACAATTTTTGGCCATAATTAGGAATGTATGGCTGTACCCCCCAAGTGAAATTGCTTTTGACGGGCCTGCAAATGATGTGTAATTTGAGAGACAGTAAAATAAAAGCACAAAATCAATGTTAAATTCTCGTATTAAGCTTTGGTACCGGAAATTATATACTTCTTTTGGTTCATACCGAATATGCATTGGACATGCCGCTCAGATAAGATGAACCCCATCGTCTCAAGCCACGGTCCGAAGTAGGAGAGGATCGTACATTTTGTCCGTGGTTTGCAACGATGGATGAACCCAAGTCACGTGGATTTTTTGACCAAGAACCCCATCCCCCTCCCCTTTCACTTTGAAAAACTTTTCTACAGGCTTTTGCAAGCTATCTTAATTGATGTATGTATTGAATGAGAAATTGCAAAAAATACAAAAACGTATATAATTTGAAGTACATGTATACTAAATGTCTACATAAAATATTTCATTAAGAAACAGAAACGTTACTATGCTCTATAAAATATTCCTGAAAGTGTGTCACGTAAATTCATCTTAAAAAGTAATTACGATTAATAATGTTTTTTTTTTCTAATAAAATTCAATATATGAATGTTGTTTCATGTATACAGTCATGTAGTTTATTCAACAGAGGATTGAACTCAATATATAGCCCTCATCTTAAAACCATTTTAGGATATAATGATACTTCCTATTTGACTTTCTACAGCTTGAGTATTTCTGACGTTTTGTCAGTATATACTTGTTCTGTTTGCAGTTTGTATGTAAGAGAGAGAGAGAGAGAGAGAGAGAGAGAGAGAGAGAGAGAGAGAGAGAGAGAGAGAAGATATAATCACACTACATGGGATTGCAAGTTTGCAGTTTAATTTATTTTGCGCTTCATGTATTATGAGCTCAATATATATTGTCTGTTTCCTAAAGTAATTTGAAAGCACAAACACTTTCAACATGGGGTGTGATTTCACTAGTTATAGACACTGTTTACAGTCTATACTAGTCCAGGTACTATTGTTACTGATACAATGAAGATTGTTCAAGAAACATAATTGCCCAAAACAACCAATTTTTCTCCATAATTAGGAATGCATGCTTCCTTTCAGTAAACTATACAAGTATTTGAAAATTATCTGCATTCATATTTTGATTACAAAAAAAAAACAAAAAACAAACAAACTACAAATTAACTAAAAAAAACACAACAGGAGCAAAAATGATTCTTTCAAACCAACCAATACAATGAGTCAGGTATTTCTCTTAACTTATTTGAATTGACACCAAATCTCCACCTTACTTGATCAGCACACACTGGCTGGATATTCTAACAGTTCTTATCAATAACCTTGTCAATTGAATATATCATAACACCAAGGCCTAATCAACATAGAGAAATTACAATAATGTATATTATAGTATTACCTCATCATCCATTGCAGCCTTCTTAGAGAAAGAGGGATCACGTCTAAAATATCAAATTTTCTAGTCATTCCGAGATTTCAAGTCTTAGAGACGTGAAAAATGCAACTATAACCCCCAAAACAAGCTGTAAGATACAGTGCAGTTGACATAAATTTTTCGGCATGAAATAGTTGTTTTGCTGATAGATAAGTTTGGCATATCTCAAAAGTTTATGATATCAACTTCCAAGTACTCATACGTACAACACTGGTTGTATAAAACGTTGAAAAGTCAACATTCAAATCCAAACAATATTCTCACAATTACAATGTAATACTTGCTTAATGCATGCTTCATGCCTAGCACAAAATGCTTTAAAGCTAACAAGAAAAGCTGCTTGGTTTATTGAAATATTTATATCATTTATTTGAAATGCTGCAGCTATGGTCTGCACGAAGCAGAACAGCATACATTTTTTTTCACGGGATTAGTTAGCACGTTTCAGGTTCTGTGTTCATCTGAATACATGTATGTCTTTTTAACTAGCCAAAACAATATATATATATATATATTTCTTTTTACACTTTATTTCGATTTTTTGCCCTTTGGTATATAACAAGGTATTTATATGTTAATTAAGTTATAATTATGTTTTGTGCCTGTCAAATATTAATTTGTTATAAACCAGAAGTCTCTGTTGAGACTGTAGCTCTACTGGTTTGTACTTATCAAAAACCATTGCACTATTTTATGTATCTTTGTGTAGTCTGCTTGTGTGCCAACTTATTTTGAAATCAAACTAAAACTGTAGAAGGAGTAGTGTTTTAAATGAATTTCACAGAAAATTCTATTTTTAGTTACCATGGTAACACCGTTCCTCGAAATCAAAAACAGATGCACTATTCTATGTATCTTAGTGTAGTCTACTTGTGTGTTAAGTTATATTGAAATCAGACCAAAACTGTAGGAGGAGTAGCGTTTTAAAGAATTTCACAGAGAATTCAATTTTTAGTTACCATGGCAACACCGTTCATCAAAATCAAAAACGGATGCGCTATTCTATGTATCTTAGTGTAGTCTATTTGTGTGCCAAGTTATATTGAAATCAGACCAAAACTGTAGAAGGAGTAGTGTTTTAAAGGAATTTCACAGAAAATTCTATTTTTAGTAACCATGGTAACAAAGTTCATCGAAATCAAAAACCGATGCACTATTCTATGTATTTTAGTGTAGTCTACTTGTGTGCCAAGTAATATTGAAATCAGATTAAAATTATAGGAGGAGTAGCGTTTTGAAAAATTGTTTACAGACAGACGGACAGCTAGACAGACGGACGGACGCCGGACGCATTACTATCGCATAAGCTGTTCTGGTCTCTGACCAGTAGAGCTAAAAATGATCATATTTTTATACTTCATTTCTATTATCTTTATTAATTTTTCACATTTTCTACTTACGTAACATCAGTGTTTCTAAACATAAGAGATCCATTCAGCGCAGTAAGTTCCCTAAGCTGTCTACTTTGCCGGTCAAGTAATTGTTCACCGGAGTCTTTAGAGTCTTTGATCTTAAATACAAAGCTCTTGAATGTTCTTATACTCTTTGTGAAAACTCAAGCAAATATTTTCTATGTATTCAAGCATAAAAATTGTCCAGGGACAAGAATGCTATACTAGTAATCTAATTTCGTAAATTTCCAGAACAGATTATCTATGATAAAAAAAAAAAAACTTTGATTGAGGCCATGCTTCCTAGCAAAATGGGTAATGTAAATTGATATAAATTTTAGACTTTAGAATAATTAAATATTCATCGTTTAAACAATCTTAAATGGTTCATAGTTTTAAGAATATTTCATACGATCTAAAGAATGGGTGGACTTAACTGGCCAGAAAAAAATGCCGCAAATTTATGTTCCATAAAATGTTAATTTTTTCCATCATATAAACCGCCAATATCTTAACTGTGTATTTATGGAACGGATGTGAATTTAAAATGCTCTTTTCGAGGTAAACTAAATAAATATCGGAGCCATGGTGTCTGAAGATTTGTTGAATATCAATAGATAATCAGGGTCACGCATTTTTCCATCGTCTGAATACATAGTCAGCGCATGTTTGTCTGCTGTTCTTACGAAAACTGTAGTTGTATATTGAACAAAATAATGTCATATTAAAAGGAGATGAGCCGACAAACGTGCGCTGACACTTAATTTAACAAACTTCTCGCTTCCATTGTTACGACTTCGATTGACTTTTTAGGTCACCTGAGTCACTCAGGTGACCTATTGCTATCTGTTTTTGTCCGTCGTCGTCCGTCGTACGTCGTTCGTCGTACGTCGTTCGTCATCAATCGGTCGTAAACTTTTGAACATTTTCAGCTTCTTCTCTGCAACCACCGAACCAATTTCAACCAAATTTGGCACAAAGCATCTATGGGTGAAGGGGAACAATAATTGTGAATTTCATGATCCCTGCCCCCTGGGGCCTGGGGGGTGGGGCCAAAACCACTAAAATTAATGCATTCTTCAAAATCTTCTTCTTTACTCCTGGACATCAAGCAGTCAAACTGTTTGCATGATTGCAATCAGCATTGAGTCCTTTACCAAAATTGTGAAATTCATGGCCCTGGGGTCAGGGGTTCTTGTACTAGGGCGGGGCTAAATAAGTATATAGTGAAAATGCATTATTTCTTTGAAAATCTTCTTCTCTGCTCCTGGGTATCAAATAAACTAACTAAGTACATAGTTATGAAGAGCAAGAGTGCCTCTACCAAAATTGTGAATTTTATGGCCCCAGGGTCAGGGGTTCTGGTGTCAGGGCAGGGCTCTATTGATTATATAGAGGAAATACATGAATTCTTTGAAAATCTTCTTCTTTACTCCTGGGTATTAGATAAACTAACTAAGTATATAGTTATGATGAGCAAGAGTGCCTCTACCAAAATTGTGAATTTTATGGCCCCAGGGTCAGGGGTTCTGTTGTTAGGGTGGGGCTCTATTGATTATGTAGTGAAAATACATGAATTCTTTGAAAATCTTCTTCTCTGCTCCTAGGTTTTATATAAACTAACTAAGTACATAGTTATGATGAGCAAGAGTGCGACTACCAAAATTGTGAATTTTATGGCCCCAGGGTCAGGGGTTCTGGTGTCAGGGTGGGGCTCTATTGATTATATAGAGGAATTATACATGAATTCTTTGAAAATCTTCTTCTTTACTCCTGGGTATTAAATAAACTTTTTTTCTGCTCCTAGGTTACACACTATAACTATAACTATATAAACTAACTAAGTACATAGTTATGATGAACAAGAGTGCCTCTGCCAAAATTGTGAATTTTATGGCCCCAGGGTCAGGGATTCTGGTGTTAGGGCGGGGCTGTATTGATTATACAACTGACATGATTAGTGAAAAAACATTAAATCTTTGAATATTTTCTTCTTTGCTCCTAGGTTTTAAGCAGATGAATTACCTATATAGTTATGAGCAATCCCTAATCTTCAAGAATTGTAAATTTCAAGGCCCCAGGGTCAGTTGTACCATAGTGGGGGGGGGGGGGGGGGAGGCTGTACTTATGTACTGAAAATGAACGAATTGTTTGATTGATTGATTGATTGTATAGTGTTTAACGTCCCTCTCCAGAATATTTCACTGATATGGAGACGTCACCATAGCCGGTGAAGGGCTGCAAATTTAGGCTTATGCTCGGCACTCAGGGCCATTGAGCAGGGAGGGATCTTTATCGTGCCACACCTGCTGTGACACGGGGCCTCGGTTTATTCGGTCTCATTCGAGGGACCGCCCCATTTAGTCGCCTTTTACGACGAGCAAGGGGTACTGAGGACCTATTCTAACCCGGATCCCCACGGGGAATGAATTGTTTGAAATGTGCTCCTTGGTATTAATCAAATATTTTTGAAAAGCAAGTATGCCTTTCCGAAAATAGTGCAATGTGTGGATCTAGGCCTAAGAGTCAAGGGTTCATGTGTGGTAGCGGCACTACTGATTATTGCTGAATATTACTGATTAGTTGAAATACATTTTTTGTTCCCCTACCCTGCCTATGGGTATAAAGTAACAAACTAAAGAACTGCTAAGTGTATAGGTATGATGACCAGATTGTAAATGCTATAGCATCTGGCTTTAAACATGGATCAAATTCAGTCACTGGGAAGTTGTTGAATAATGCTCAGGTGTCCTATAAGGCCCAGGGGCCTCTTGTTAAATATTACAATTCATCATGTGATGTCCACCTGCTAATGTACTCGTCGAAACAGTTACATTGTATTCTTCAACCTGACCTAGATGAAAATCACTATGTTTGGTGTCGTTTTCAGAATTTAGCACAATAAATGTTGTAATTTTGCGTGTCCTCATCTATACTTATAAATTAATAAATTTTGCAAATAAACTTCGAAACGGGTGCACAAGAGTTCTTACTTACCCCTCTAATACTACACTACATACAAGATGATGTCCGTAAACTATATTTAGATTTCACTCAGATAGTAAGTATCGTACATAAAATTAAAAGTAATTACTTCAATTTTCTGAAAACAGCCATGAAATAGCATCAACATGAGTATTGTGGCGTTTCTGGTTGGCGGATCTAAGCTACTGACCAATTTTAATGAAAATGACAACAAACAATCTATTATTTATTTCATAAAATGTCATCACTGAATTATGCAATCACCACTTGATTTAATTGATATAAAAGAAATAAGTTGTGGTAACCAATTAAAAAGTGAAAAGTGTAAATTGTTTTCGTCAATCACCGATCTCAATATTGACAGAAGCTTCTAGAACATCACGTCCCTTTTGCTACATTGTTTTAATTAAGAAATAATTATAAATATTGTAATTATCGGGTTATTTGATTAAATAGTTTTACAACAAATGGTGTTATATAAATTAAAATACAATAAAAACAATAGTTTTGTAAAAACGAGCAAAATATGCTTGAAATTTATCAGAAACATATTATTGCCAGAAAAAACACTAATATTTATTGATGAAAGGATTATATAAGTACACAAATGGTCAAACTTTGGGTAGTAAAAGTATACGATTTCAATTCATGGCAATCCGATAGAGAAGTATCAAAAGTCGATGACGAGTGAATGACAATTGAAAATAATTTAAATACAGGAAATACATATATCGAAAGACTAAAATAGATATGTAGTGCATATATATGTCTTTGTTATGAGTTTATCGGTAAAAAATGTATTTTCCGTACTGGGAGCATCGTGGTAACTAACCCGACGTACAATTTGTAATCAACTTAAATTGCGTTCAATAAGAGAGAAAACTTACGAATAAGGTATTGTTCAAATGCAATTAATTACAGCTATAAAGTTTCGTGCTTTAATAAAGACATTTCAGTTTTTTTTCTCTCTAAAAAAAAGTTTTTCTCCAATGCCAACTTCTTTCAGAACCAAATTATTGGTATTCAACACTATATTTCCCTTATATGAATTCCTGTAGTATTAAGGGGGGGGGGGGGGGGGGCAACCAGCCTTTCATTGAACATTTCCAAAAGTATTGGTAGGGGAAAAAGTGGGGGGGAGCCTTTTTACGTATCGATAAGGGTACATATATAATTATAAACCAAGACCCAAGTTCCTGTGAATTTTTACCCCTCCCCCAACTCCCCAAAATCAAAAAACAATAATCTTACATACAACCAAAATATTGCAATATTTAAACTTGTTCAAGAATTTATTGCAACTACAAAGCGATTTGCATGATATTCTATCTGTTTTTTTTTCAATTGTCAAATCACAGAACTATACATATAAAACCTATTTATGTTTTTTTATTCATTTTTTTTTTAATTTATACAATTATTAATATAATTGCCAGTCATATATGTTAAAATATAAACTTAGATTATATTATCAGCTCATATATTTCTCTTTTTTTTTTGTTCTCCTTAATTTGCCTTGTCATATACATTTCTACTGAATAAATGCATGTATATATTTATAATGTTCAATGTTATATTAATAATGTTTACTTGTACATGTATGATTTTGACCTTGTATTGTGGAAAGGACTTATATAGGCAGTGCCTGCTGTCCAGTCCAATTATGTTCATTCATAATAAAATATTGTTTAAATTAAATTAAAATCAATTTATTTGTATATTATGTATATTCGTTGCTTTTATCCTTCATGATTGTTTTGAACAAAGAATTTCTTCCCTCTATAAGTCTGTAGTCTGTCAGTAAAATCTACAACTTCCAACTACATTATATTTAATTTTCTGTTGTAAATGGTAAAGTTCTATGTATAAATTCAATTTCCCGTGCTTGCGCGGGTAATTATCTAGTTTTTTTTAAAATCATAATGACATCCCTGTAAAATTCAAAACACGTATTCGAATTTCTAGAGAGAGAGATGGAGAGAGAGAGATATGGAGAGAGAGAGAGAGAGAAATATCAACAATGACACTGATCGATAGTCCCGCCTCCTATTAATATTGATAGCGCGACCTAAACACTACTCCGGGTACATGTAAAATTCCGGAAGACGACACTAATGTATCGTTATTTCAACTTTGATTCATGGCAACAAGGCATTGCTTTTGTACATATGTTCTAGCTAAAATAACCATGAATACGTCGCTCTTTCTAGTGGTTGTAATATATTTTGGATTCACTTTATTTACAAATGAACTTTGATCCACAACACATGAGAATATTTCAATGAAGGATATGGAAATAACGAACAGTATTCAATCTCAACGTCCATGAAGCAATATACAAAATAAGAGCAGAGCAAACACGGACCTCCGAAACATCAGAGGTGGGATCAGGTGCCATGGAGGAGTGAGCATCCCCTGCCGATCGGTCACACCCGCCGTGTGCCCGTTGTCATAATCAGGAAATAACAGAAAAAATCCTTAGTAAATTCAGTGTATAAATAATGGACTAACAATTGGTATGAAAAACGTCAGTCAGCATTTCATTCAATGATAAATTGTATTTGCTGACAAGGTCATTGTATCGACCATAGAATTTAAGAAATGATGACTTTAAACTTTTAACAATTCATTATGATGAACAAGACCCCACTGCTTTGGGGAATGTTGCTGTAAACATATTACAAATGTTACAGAAATCGATATAAAAAAAAATAATAAAATAAATAATATAAATAGGACTAAGAAGAGATGATAAAAACAGAGGCCCCTAGAAAAAAGTGGGATCAGGTGCCCTGGATGAGTAAACACCCCCTGTTGACCAGTCACATCCATTGTGAGACCTATGTTTTGTTCAGGTAGACAGAGGTTTCCATAGTCAAATTCAATATAAAAAGTCTAAACAATAAGTATGAAACATGATACATGTATCGGTAGCCAAATGAGGTCAACTATTAAGAATCATATTTGCATACAAGGTTATTAAAACTACCATGAACTTTGAGAAACTCTGACTTTAAATGAGGCTATTGAAATCCCTGTAAAGTAAACTTACAGAGAATAGTCTTTGTCTCTTTAACAAAATAGTGATAAACTGGACATAAACACCATAAGCACGTGATATAGTGGACTATTATCACATGAACATGTGCCAAACAGATTGATGTGCTCTACTGCTATTGGCCGTTAGTTTTTGGCATTAAAACATAGTCATTTAGCTGTTTCAAGCACCTTAATTGGGAAAAATATTTAGGTCTTTTGATTTATAAAATATCACATCAGTGTATATTATCACACTAAATGAATTCTTATAAAAATATTAATAAATTATATTACATCAATAATCCAGAAATTTTAAAGTAAAAAAAATTGCGATAGAAAAACCCACTCACTGGTTTGGTCAGCCTGTGCTCAGTGTTGTGTACAGAGTTTCACAAATTGAAAACACCTGTCTGTTGAAGTGTACACTGTTTTTGTAAACAGGGCACGAGCTCTGTTGTTGTTAAAGTTTACGTTTCCCAGGATGTATTCAAGTGTTAAACACTAAACACATCACTGAGCACATACAGACTGACAATACCAGTGAAAGGGTTCCTTTCACATTTCTACTCTGAACTTTCTGGATTACATTATTTTTTAATTATTTTTAAAATATTTTTCATTAATACACAGCATAATTGTTACTTTTCTGAAGTATTAAGGAAAAAAGTGAAAATTTTTGAAAGTGCAAGATGTGTCTATCAATCACATCCAGAAATTCACATTTAAAAAGTGGTATTTTCCTATCAACCCTATATCCTAAACAGATGACATAAAGAAACAAACTAATTAATTAAGATAATAAATGCCTGACTCAGGCTTACTGTCAACAGAATCAAAATATCAAATCTCTACATAATAATAGAATTATCTTTTAAAAACAAGAGAATATGTGTACAGATGGATGGATGTATTACAAAGACATGATTTCTTTTTCTGTTCCTTATATATGATGCTTTCATATCTTATACTGATTGTTAAGTTCTAATTATGGGTGGAAGTGTTTGTTAAAAAAATACTCCTCAATGTATAATTTAGAAATAATTCATATAAACATTATAATGTGTGCAAAATTTAGCAGAAATTATTATACCAGTTAGTAAATGTAAATCTGATTTACAGTGTAAGTAGTTGATACATGTACACATGAATTTCAAATTTGTTTTATATCTGACTTCTTAAAATTAAATTCCATGAAAAAGAAACCAAAAATGTCTCAAAGCATAGAAAAAAAATAAAAAAAAAAATGGAATGACCTTGACCTTTGACCTTGTAAAATGTTCAAGGTCAAGGGTTACATGTACAATGCAATTGACCCCATTCTTCTATGACTTTAAGTTTCCAAATTATAAGGTTTAATAGTAAGTACAAAGAAGTTAAAGGGCAATAACTCATATAAGGTGTCATCTGATCCTTTCACACTTATACAGTGAAGTTAGTTCCAAAGACCCTTAAGACATTAATGAAAGATTGATGTCTCTACCGTTTCAGAGGAGTAGTGATAACAAGGTTTTTCGCTCAAGGGGCAATAACTTTTAAAAGGGTTAATGTTAGGGGACAAGAATGAAATCTTTGAAACAGTTTTAAGAGTACATATTAATGATGCATAGACATTAAGTATATATTGAGAGACAAAAGAGATATATAAAATGCTAAATTTCTCATTATTGGAATGACCTTGACCTTTGACCTTTCCATGAATTTTTAAGGTCGAAGGTCAATGAATCTTATGCAGTTAGTCCCATGTCTCTACGACTTGTTGTTTTGAAAATTTTTAATTATTTGTAAAATTCAAAAAGTTTGAGGGGCAATAACTCATTGAAGGGGTCACCGAATACTTTCACAATGCATAGATTGGAGAGTCCCCTCAATTACTTGAAGACATTTGTAAAAGTTTTATATCTCTGTGATTTATGGTTTTGGAGGAGTAGCGATAACAAGCATTTCTTGCGAAAGGGGCAATAACCACGAAAAAGGGGTCAAGGTTCATTTACACAGGGTCAAATGTGATAATCTTTTACGGAGTACATACTTATGATCTTAAAATCTTTTCGATAAATCTTGAAACGCAAAATCACACGGCGGAAAAATAATACAAGAGGCCCAGGGGCTACAGCGCTCACCTGAGCACATCGGCTAGGAAAAAGCACATATCAGATCAAAACTAAAAGTTTACTGAGTCTGGGGGGGGGGGGGGGGAAGCTTGAATTTTAACCCCGGGGGGTCATGATTTGAAAAAAACTTGAATCTACACTACCTGAGGCTGATTCCACTTGAGTTTCATCTTTCCTGGTCCTGTGGTTCTTGAGAAGATTTTTTCAAAATGCCATTAATTTTTCTCTAATTCATAATTATCTCCCCTTGGAGAAGGGTGTGGCCCATTATTTGAACAAACTTAAATCCCCTTTACCCAAGGATACTTTGTGGCAAGTTTGGTTGAAATTGGTCCAGTGGTTCTTGAGGAGATGAAAATGTGAAAAGTTTATGACGACAACAACAACGACGACAACGACTACAACAACGACAGACAACAGACAAATTTTGATCAGAAAAGCTCACTTGAGCTTTGGCTCAGGTGAGCTAAAAAAAAGGAAAAGAAGAAACAGAAGAAAATCAACAGGTCTTTCCACAGAAAGGTGGAAAGACCTAACAACAACAACAGTGATGCCATTACTTAAATAGAAAATGCATTCCAAATACAGTAATAAAGAGAGTACACGCACACACTAAATCTATTTTCCTTACAGTATATTTTGTTTCATTAAAACATAGTAATTATTAAACCATTTACTTACTTCTTTAGGTGATGCTTTTTTCTTTGACCGAAAAACTACGGAAAAAAAGAAAAAGTCAATCAAAAAAAATCAATATTGGGAGATTTTAATTAAATTCTTATATTTAGAAAATTAAAGAAAACTTATCAGAGTATGTCTAAAAATGAGCAATAATGACTTTGCTGTACTTGAGAAGATCTTTAAAGATTTTTCCAATATATTTAATTAATCTACGTAAAACCTTGATCGTCCTTTGTGGCGTCCTTTGTGGCCCTACCCTACCCTACCCCCGGGGGTCATGATTTGAACAACTTTGAATCTACAGTACTAATGAATGTTTTCACATTAGTTTCATCTTTCCTGGCATAGTCATTGGTTTTTGAGAAGAATTTTATTAAATCATGCCAAAAATGTTCACTTATTATGAATTATCTCCCACTGAATGAATGTGCCCATCATTTGAACAAACTTGAATCCTCTTCATACAAGGATGATTTGAGGCAAGTTTGATTAAAATTGGCTAAATAGTTCTTGAGAAAAAGTCAAAAATGTAGAAAGTTTACAGACAGATGGATGAACGAACAGCTAGACGGACTACAGACAAAATGTGACAAGAAAAGCTCACTTGAACTTTCAGCTCAGGTGAGCTAAAAATCATGAACAAATCATTGTTACAAGGCACAGCAAAGATAAACTTTAAGATCTTTAAAATTAGCACTTTTTCTCTTAAATATGTAACATCAAACATGAAAATCATCCATTCAATACTTTTCATATCATGTACCTCTTAAGATTTTTTTTAAACACAAACTTAACAATAAGTTGTTTAAGAATGAAATTTACTGTGAGCCTGTGTTGATGGTGGAGGTGGTCTCCCTCTGGCTGGTATTGAGGGGGGTGGTACTGGTTCCTCGGGGAGTTCCTCAAAGAGATCATCCATCTCCAACTCAGCTTGTTCTGGGGGAGGTTCAGGTTTGTCTTCTAAATGTAAACATTAAATTTAAGCAGGAAGTAATCAACGTGAGATTGGTACATTCATAGATTTCTTGTTTGGTAAACATTCCTTGTTTTGGGTAATAAAAAAACTAGGAAAATTCTTTAATTAAAATGTTATCATCTCTATTTAAACTCATATTGCAAAAACTAGCAAGTCTCAAGTATTTCAATGTGTCCACTGTAAATAAACTCTTATATATTTGTATTCATTTGAACACATGCAAACACAATGAATTACTTTTGTAACCCGGCATTTCCAAACAACAATTTGCATTCATTACAAACATATATTAAGTAAATTACTTTTTTATTTTTCTATATGACTGTGAACATTGTGATGGGAAGGTACACAAAGTTGGTTTACACTTAATTGTAACAGGAAAAGAGAAAATTTATGGTTGGACTCGGAATTTTACCCTGGACCCCTGTATTACTAGTTAAGTGTTCTAACAGCTACCCAGACCATAATATCCACGGTCCAAAGAGTCATTACTTTCCTTATTTTGTCTTCATCACTAAAGACACAAAGCCAAATATTCTTTAGTCAGGTAGGGCTTTTATTGGGAAGTGGTCAATGGCACCTCATGAAATAGGAAAGGGTAAAACTGATGGCTGGACCTGGAAACAAACCTGGTAGGACACCTACACCAGTCCATGGCACCTGATCCCACTTCTGATGTTTTGGAGGTCTGTGTTTGCTCTGCTCCTAATTTGTATTGTTTTATGGACTTTGAGATTGAATACTGTTCATTATCTCCATATCCTTCTACCAGTAAGGTGCTCTAACCACTTAGCCACCAAGTCCAATATACATATTCCCTATACATATAGCCAAAAACCTAAACCTTAATTCTACACGATGCTCAGATGAATCTCACCTCATTTATACAAAAGTCTGTAAGTTGTCAGAAGCCAGCACTCTAGTCTCTTGATACATTAAATGAAATGAAGGGTTAATTCTTTATTTAAGGATGTACAACACACCCACCCCAAAAAATTCCTGTCGTTTAATTTTCGCTATTTTTGTATATTTAGTACATGAATATATTTACTGATGTATGCACATTTTGGACAAAATCGTTCGAGTGGTTTTTGGACAGGAACTTCCAAAAGTTACCCCCCTTTAGTTGTTTACAAAGAGAGAAAATTTTTAGTCAATGAACTACTTAAACCTTGATTTTCAAAAAAGCCAGAATAGATATACCGGTAAATGTCAAATTTCACTGTCTTATTCCTTTAACCATTTAAGACAAAAACATAGTCATCTTTTTAATATACATATCATCAAAACAACTTTTAAAGACCTTAAACTGAAATACTATGTATTATCTAAGCCTTGAAAATTGTGTATTTTTCAAATTCAAATTTTTTTTGTGAAAAAACCTGTCGTTTAATTTTGTTAAAAAACTTTCTTTAGGTAGCTGGTAGTAAAAATAATCTTCATAATTTTTGTAGAATTTTTGTTCGACCAGTTTTGATTTAATAGCGGAAAATTACCCCCTCCCCCTTTCTCAAAAAATCGCGTTCCCGCGCGTCTTTCAGACGGGGGTCGATCACTTTGCTATGAATCTACAAATACACATGTAAAAAAAAATCAATTTGGAATATTGCTTTTGCTTCAAAAATATATCAACTTACAAATTTAAAAGTTCTCATATGTAAAGCGTATTTAAATGTAGATTTTAAGGCAATTTTTGAATACCCCTACCACCCCCACCCCTTCCTTTTTTGCGTCGCAGACCATTAGCTTTTGACGAAATGTCGTTTACAGTGCAAATAAACTAGTATTTCGTCATTTGAATCCCGGAGGTATGCATAATTTTTTTAATTCATGAATGCAGAATAAATACTGACTACTGTTTTTATATTTATCAGGAAAAAATTACACATCAAGGATTTTAGTGTTTAGTCCATATATGTATGCGTTATGCATTCCATATCACATGAAACCTGGATACGAATTCAAGTTATGTTGAACTTGAATATGTTGATTTTTAATTTTATTTCTTTAATTCTATTTATAAAAAAAATGGTGTATGTTCAACTCTCCTGTGATATAAATGGAATAATTGTAGTTTCTTTCATGTCATTATTTCAAACGAGACAGTATGTGACTGTGGGCCGGGGATACATCGACATTTGCATAGATGTACACCCCTCATATTGTACGCATTCTTTCAATTTCGTTGCTTCTAAAGTTAAAATGAAAATTCTGTATTCATCCACATTAACTTCAAAATATCAAACATTAAACTCTTCGTCTATTTCAATTCGTATCAAATCGCACATTCATTTGATAAAAATCTTATCATGCTTATAGGCAACATTTTGTTTTGATTCGAGGAAATGCGAACCGACATTGTTGACAGGACAAAAAGTCAAACGATTTGCTGCAATAGGATATTCACATTTGCAGATAATTTCAGTACTAGTGAACAATTCTTTTCAATTCTATACTTACATTGTGTATATGAGGTCTATAGTATATATTCAATTCTCGGATTTATCAGGTCTTGCTGTAAATGTATCTGATTTTGTGGAAAACCATGAATAAAGGGAGGAAAATAAACATCCCCTACATTTTCAGAGTTGTTCCTTTTTGATCAGTAAGGGTTCGAGAACAACATCGATTTTTACATTGTTAAAAGTGTTTTTGTTTGTTTATTGTTGTTTTATTTAATTAAGAAGAAAAACAATATTTATATCGTAAATGCACAAATTGTAATGAAGACCATTAATCGGAATGTTATATAGCCAATTGTACATAATAAGAATTTCGGCAATGTAAAATAAAATTTTCAGAATTAAAAAAAAATGCTACGCCTTGATCATGATTACAATTGATTGTATATAAAATAAAATGAAATAAACATTAAGGGATGGTATTTTATGTCTTGCTTTTTACGGAGTTTAATCGGGTTAATTAAAAAAATAATTATTGATTGAGTATGGTATGCATAATCACAGCCAAGCCCCATATCCCATTTTTCTTTCATGATTGATATACATCGAGATCGTTTTACTCGTCATTTTGACGCTTTATTTTTGACGTTAATTTCACGTCACGTCAAACGTTCGATTGAAATCGCAAGAGTTATCTCCCCAGTGTGTTGTACGTCTTTAAATGCCTGAGGAAAATCAATGGTTCTGTCCAGAAAAGATAACAGCCAAAATAATAATATATTGTAGTGACAGGGTCATGAATTCATTACAATTACTGTTATGGAGGTGCTAAAATACTCAATTATATTTGTTTTCTACTTATAACAAAAGACTAGGGCAGGGCAATTATATCGATATTTTGGTATATTGCGGTAAACTGACTAAAAATATCCTATTGCAATGTTTTTCTAATATCGATATATAGGCAACTGCAAAGAATAAGACCAATGCTCATTTTACGACAACTGCTCAGGATAAGACTAATGCTCATTTTAAGACAAATGCTACGGTAAAGAGAACTGCTCGTTTTAAGACAACTGCTTAGTTAAAGAAAACTGCTCGTTTAAAGACAACTGCTCAGAATACTCATTTTAAGACAACTGCTCAGGTTTGATCAGAAATTTGATCACTTGAGTCTTTGGCTCAGGTTAAACTTTGATTCCCTACTGAAGCCCTGCCCTACCCCGGCCCGGGGTCATGATTTGAACAATTTAAAATCTGCACTACCCCAGCATGCTTCCACATAAGTTTCAGTTTCTCTGGCCAAGTGGATGCTGAGAAGAAGATTTTAAAGATTTTTCCTATATATTTCTATGTAAAAAATTTGTTTCCCTATTGTGGTCCCGCCCTGCCCCAGGGGTCATAACCTTTATAATTTAAAATTTTCACTACCCCAGCATGCTTCCACATTTATAAGTTTCAGCTTCCTGGCCCAGTGGTTCTTCAAAAGAACATTTTTTTAAAAAGAAATCCCATATATTTCTTTGTAAAACTTTGATTCCCTGTTGTGGCCCCGCCCAACCCCAGGGGGTCATGATTGAACAATTTAGAATCTACACTACCCCAGGATGCTTCCACATAATTTTCAGCTTTTCTGCCTCAGTGGATCCTGAGAAGATTTTTCCTATATATTTCAATGTAAAACTTTGATTCCCTATTGTGGTCCCCCTACCCCCCGGGTCCCCCCTTCCGGGATCATAATTTTTACAATTTAGAATTTACACTACCCCAGCATGCTTCCACATAAGTTTCAGCTTTTCTGGCCCAGTTGTTCTTGAGAAGATTTTTTAATAAACCCACCCTATTTTTGTACAGTCAAACTTGTCTTAGCGGCAACCCGAAATCAACGGCCACTCGCGGTCAGCGGCCACTTTCAGTTCCCCCCGACGATTTTTCCTATATATTTTAACTGGAATAAACGGCCACCTGTGTAACGCGGCCAGCAGCCACCCAAATCCTCCCCCAACAGCCATATTGACACTGTAATAGGCGGCCATTTCATCACTTGTTGCGGTCCTATTACATCTTTTAAACGCATTGGCTGATATTATGATAATGATAGTAAATTTAATCTATTAATGCAATTTTAAAAAAAATGCTTTTAGATACGCTGAACTCTGTTCATGAAAAAAAATATTTCTCCTGTTGGACCAATTTGTAATTATTTTTCAAGATCGCCGATTGAAAAATTAAAAGAATTTAACTACAATTGATACTTTCCTCTAGCTTCACACCTTTTAGATTTTGATTCCATGAAGAAGCCCTAATTGTTACTCTTGTGAAAACAAAGTGCTTCATGTGCCATGATTATCTAGTGAATTTCACTATCAAGAGACGATCGATAGGGATTAGTGACGCTCTACTGCACGTGACACCTGTGATATGGAATGATTTTCAACTGCGTAAATACACCTCTCTGGTCAACTGGTTAATTTTACTTGTGTGTCTGTGTATGTTACATAGAAATTCTGACAGCTTTATAAACAATAAAATTAACCAGACTTTAAAAACATTAGCAAGTAGGTTAATTACCTATTTATAAAGTTGGGAGGGGGGTGTGGTGTTTCACTGCTGACCACTTTTTAACATATGAAAGTGAATATATTCTTACTTAAATTTCTATGCTTTATTTTATTTACCATAAAACTGTATTTTTGTGTATTTTTTTCTTTATAAAAAAAGAATAATAGTCAGGCACTGTCGGTATTTCTTCAAATAAAAATTAAAAGAATTTATTTAATATTTCAATGTTACCAAAGCACACTGATGAATGCAAGATTTTTAACTAATATGTAGGAACAGACACATACACAAAACCTTTAACATTTCGAATTCTTTAATATTCTTTTTAAATGAGCTTGGGTTATTATATATATACATGAAAAAGCTTTTTTGAAATTGACCTGTTTAATTATGATGAATCAATTTAACTGTAGTGCTTAATGTTGTTTATTTATTGACCAAATGTCCTTTTCGAGGGCAAACTGGAATAAGAGGCCACCTGTCTTAAGTGGCCAGTTTTCAGACTTCCCAAAGGTGGCCTCTTAAAACAAGTAAAACAAATGTGTTGTACCAAGTTATGTTAAAATTGGCCCAGTGGTTCTTGAGAAAAAGTCAAAAATGTGAATAATTTACAGATGGACGGACAGTAAGACAGACAGACGACGGACAAAATGTGATCGGAAAAGCTCACGAGCTTTCAGTTCAGGTGAGCTAAAACAAATATATTTTTACAGATTCACTTTATGGAAGTAAAATATTATGTATCTCGTAATTTATAAATGGAAAGAACTTCTAATTAACAATCTTTTCAATGTTTAGAAAACCTTTGTTTCTATAAATAACTACTCAAACCCCAATCCCCATACACCAACACTTAAAACTTATTTGTACAGGGCAGCCCGGTCCTCCGGGCTGCAATAAAAATCATATGGTAAAGAGCAAGAAAAGTTTAACCTTGTGAGCTACATACGATTACAGACAGACTGCTCACATTTAAAGAAAAAAGAGATTTAAAAGGATAACATTGAAAGAACAAGCTACTCTATACTACGTGAAATCTGTAAGACATGAATAAGAGTGTCTGCACAAGAGTCATGAGGTAAGGAGTTGATCCTCATGTCCCGGGTTCAGATCCCACTGGGGGATGTGGAGACCTGTCTTTCGGATGATACCAAATAAATCATTATGATAACTTATCTAAACCAATTGAGGTACTGTGTCACAGTAGGTGCTGGCACTAAAAATATCCCTCACTGCTCCATGGCCCTAATTAAGTGCCAAGTATAAAACAAAATTTGCAGCTCTCCACCAGCAAGAAGTGGCATCTCAATACGAGTGAAAATATTCTCAAAGAATGTTAAGTAACAACAAATCGTAAAACATGGTTACAGCTTACTACTTTTGGTCACATCTTAAACTGTAATCAGCCTCATTCTTTATCTTTTACTTTAAGTGAGTAAGTAACATGATTGAATAATCATCAGTAGGAATGTTCATGTACTTCATACAATTTTACCATGGTGTAAATATACATGCAAGCTTAAGTCAATTTTTATTTTTATTTTACAACGTAAACAGAAGGATTCAACACCAAAAGAAAGTTGAAACGAAGTTTTTAAGACCTTGTGTTTTACTTTGTAATCAAAGAAATTCCTAATACTTTTATGGGGAACATATCTACCCCTAAATTTGTGTTTGGAACAAAGAAATTCCTAATACATCAGATCTATTACTTTTCTTTCAGGAAATTATCACGAAAATTGAAAGTCAGTGTACTTCTACTAATCCGTCTTGAGTTTTTACTTGAAAGTAAAGTAACTGTAATGAAGAAAATAATACATACCCTTATCTCCTCCTGCCCTCAACAATGGGACATCTGGTGGTAATGCATAGTCAGGGTTAATTGATAGAAAATCAGGTTCTATTAAAAAAGACATTTATTTTAAAAGTTATAGCACAGAATTTGTGTGCAAAGCAAGTGCATCAAAAAGTAAAGGAATTCTAGATTTATACTGTAAACCAACTTTTATTCGCGTGCAAAAAATATTCGCGAATTTCATGAGAGCCTTGTCAATGCCAATATTTCTCGCCGCGAACCGATCCTTAAAATGTGTATACTGTAGATCACTAAATTTTCGCAACACCTTATTTTCGCGAGAGAGTCATTGACTCTTGATACGCGAGACAAAATTTTCACGAATTGTGGTTATTGCTTTATATAATCTTAAGGAATACTATTATACGCGAGAACTTATTTTTCGCGAGCACACTGTCTCGCGTAATTACGCGAAAATAAAGTTCTCGCGAATAAAAAGTGATTTACAGTATCTTTTAACAACTGATCCAAAAAGGTTTGGTCGTGAAAATCAAACGTTGCGAATAAAAGTTGTTTAACAGTATCATGATAATTAAAATCTCACAGTAAAAATCAGTATTACAAACTTTCATATGATTCCTCCTGTTCTGACTCAGATGATTCCATTGGTGGTGGTGGTGGCGGTGGTGGTTCCCTCCGAGGTGGTTGAGGTGGTGCTTGTGGAGCCCTCCCTTTTAGTGGTAGTGTACGAGCAGGTGGTAGTCTGCGAGCAGGTTGAGCTAGTCCTCTTTTCTGAAACTTAAATTTTATTTAATATTCATAATTAAATGAAAGCAAAAATCGTTTGCAAAATTAATGTTTTGTTGAAACTACACTTCAATTGAACTTCAATTGAAAAGCACGAAGATTCTATACATGTAACTTGGAAGCCTCTTACTTTAGTTTGCTCTTATGCATAATTGTTTTCAATGTGAATAATCTTTTAAAAATAAAAATTTTAGATTGATTGATTGTTTATTGTTTAACATCCCTCTCCAGAATATTTCACTGATATGGAGACGTCACCATTGAGGGTGAGGGGCTGCAAATTTAGGCCTTTGCTCAGCACTTACGGCCTTTTTTGCAGGGAGGGATCTTTATCGTACAATTTTTAAAAGTCATATAAAAAGCAATTAATGAGCGATGGGGCATTAAAAAAGCTACATTGAGTTTGATTTTTCATATTGTGACACCACATACGTGGGGTCAGCAAAGATATAACAAAAACTGACCATTATGGAAAGTGTTTTAAGAGAATTCTGATAAATGTAGTGCAGAATAATTTTGCTCTTAACTAATTATATAAGCATGTAATCATATCAATTCAGCTAAATTCTCATGTCTTGGTTACACCTTAAAATGGTCCTCTTTTACATTCTAGTTGTGCATGGAAACAATTTTTTAAAAATCTTTTTTTAAGAAAAGCAGTTCTCTTTATATTGATCCTGGTAGTTTGATTGCAGCAGTTCAGTTTTTACATTTTTTGTAAAAAAAAGGTAGAATAGTCTAATCATCACATAGGGTTTAGTGTTAGTAAAGAGGATGTTGTGGCCAATAGGCCTCTTACTGTAGTCAAAAGATAGCTAGGTGATATACACTATTAAGAAAAATGACCAACTGAAGGTGATAATCATTTAAAGAAAGCAAAGTAATGGCATCATTTACAATCAAATTTTAGGACTGTTTAATTCTGATAATTATACGATAATATCTTTTGTATTCATTGGCAGCTTTTGATGTTAACACTTATGGTATTGGATCTTCTGTCAGTAATGTTCTAAAGGAGACCCCATGACTGAATATATCTTCACTACAAGCCATGTTTAATATTCAAGAGGTAACTCATAATATGTGTAGATTTAACATTATAAATTAACAAAACATTCTTTGATCATAATGGTATATTGCAGTTCCACTGCTATATGTATGCAAAGTTGTTTTTTTTGGGGTGGGTGGGGGTGGGGGGTGGGGGTGGGGGTATGGTATAGAAGCATTAACAAATAAAGGTCAGAATCAATATTAAAACAGGAATATTTACAAAACTTGTACATTGTATAGCCATGCAAGAAGTATTCTGAAGTACACACCCTTTGACCATTAGCTTGACCCTCAATATAAAGAACTTAAAAGAATTTCTTCAGTATTTCAGACTGTACCTGTTATTTAATTTACTTCTTTAACATTTGTACATAATTATGTATGTAAGGTACATGTACATTTGGTGAAAAATATTTCATACATTTGCAAAATTTACAATCATTATGAATCTTTCTTAACATTTTATTAATTATTGAAATAAAGATTTAGACTACATGAACATTAATATTTGACTGTGAATGTTTTACACATGTTAAATGTGTTTAGTTTCAAAATACATTTTTCCTCAACAGAACAATTTATGGAAATTTGGTGCGAATTTGGAGGAGACTTTTGGAATTGACATCACAAAATGCATGGATATTCTGCAAGGAGCAAGATTAAATTCACTTGGCAAGTGCACTAAGAACGGGAAATTATATTTCATTAGAACTGCATGTCGTACATAAAATACTAGTTCTTTGGAAAATTGGAAGAAGTTGGACACCGTAAGTTAAATATTTAGGGATTGAATTAAAAAAAATTCTGACATGCTTAGAAAAAGTTCTTTCAACATATAATCTTACTTTTTAGCTCACCTAAGCTGAAAGCTCAAGTGAGCTTTTCTGATCACATTTTGTCCGTCTGTCTGTCTAGCTGTCTGTCCATTTGTAAACTTTAGGTTTAAATCGGTGTTTTTAAACATTAGAGATCCATTCAGCGCAGTAATTGAGTTCTCTGAGCTGTCTACTCTGCAAGTCAAGTAATTGTTCACCGGAGTCTTTAGAGTCTTTGATCTTAAATACAAAGCTCTTGAATGTTCTTATACTCTTCGTGAAAACTCAAGAAAATATTTTCTATGTATTTAAGGATTAAATAGTCCAATGACAAAAATGCTAAACTAGAACCTACTCTAATTTCCAAAACAAATTATCTCTGATGAAAAACTATGATTGAGGCCACTTCCTAGCCAAAATGGGTATTGTTTTAAAATGAACTTTGGTCCACAAAACATGAGAATATTTCAATAACAATTCATCATGATGAACAAGTCCCTGCTGTTTTGGAGAAGGTTGCTGTAAACATTAATTTTTACAACTGTTAAAAAAATTGATATTAAAATAAATACTGTAGACATACTTTTTTTCACAGGGTCATAATTCCGCGGAATCTCAATTTCTGTTTAATCCACGGGTAGAAATTATGCGGATTTCTAAGTTTGTCACTATATGCCTTACATTTATATTAAGTACGCTTGGACAATTTCCGCGGAAAATTTGTGACCGCGTACATAGGGTAAATTAATACTACATGGGAAAAAGTACTTCTACGGTATATAAGTACCCTATAAGCAGAAGTTTTAGCGAGGATTTAATTTTGGCATAATTAATATCAAAAATTAATTGCGCTTTATTTGTAATAGCTTCTTAAGTGAGGTTTTAAAAATCAATAAAATTACATCTCACTAAAAATAAAATACCAATTATTTAAGGACAAATTGCTAAATTTGATTCTTGATAAATTTTCCACTTATACAGTTATGCAAATATAAAGAGGGCTGAAAACAGGGGCCCCTGGAAACAGGTGGGATTGGGTGTCTTGGAGTAGTAAGCATCCCCTGTTGTCATAACACATCTAGCTGCTTCAAGTACCTTGGGAAAAATATTCAGGTCTTTTGACTGATACAATATATTCAATAAATGTATATTACACTATATGATCTCAAATAAAAATATTAATGATTGAATAATATAACATCTTTGATCCAAACGTGCAAGAGAAAAACCCACTCACTAGTATTGTCAAAAGAGCTTTCTCGAAAGTTACATGTACCCTTTTTTTTAATAACAAATTCTTTTTTTATAATAATTGAAGAACCTTATATCCTTACCAGATGACTTTTATTATCAAACTTAAGATGAGAGCTTCGAGATGATTTCTTTTACTGTTCATAATGACCCATTCATATCTTATGCTATTTGTTAAGTTCTAATTATCAGCAGAAATGTTCAATAATTACTTTTCAGTGTAGAAATTAGAAATCATTCATATAAAGATTATATGAAATTTAATATATAAAATGTGTGTAACATATAGCATGATATAGTGAAAATTATTATACTAGGTAGGGTAAATTTGAAAATAGCTTATATGTACACATGAAAATATAACATTATGCAAAAAAAAAAAATCAAACCAGTGATGTTATTAATACAGTTGTAGCTGCATTCCTAGAAGACATTAATTAATCAGAACACACACTAAATCTTTTTCCTTATCATGCTTGTAGTATATTTTGTTTCATTATAACAATTAAGCTAAATAAGTACTTACTGTTATAGGTGATGGTTCTTTCTTTGACAATTCACCTAGGGAGAATCAATAAATTCAGTTTTTGGGAGATTTTAATTAAAAGTTACTTATTTAGAAAATTTAATAACTTATCAGAGTATGTACTATATAATTATATAGATACATAATTGGTCCCTCATCACCAAAACACCCAAAGAAAAGGTCTTCCTCTTCTTCAAATTCTAGATTTGAATCAGAACAATCAATATTTTTCTCAAACTAAGCAAGTAAACTATGAACTTGCTATAATTACAGTAAGATCTTATTTCATCAACTTATCCTTTATTGTCATACAAAAGATTACCCCCATTTTGTTCTTAAGTTGCCCATTTTTCATTTTGAAAATTTTATGAAAAAATTTATGTGATCGATGAAAATGTTTGTTTCTTAGTAAACTATTCAAACTAGACTGCGAGCATAACCAGATACTGTACATCTTTGTCCCTTTTCAAGGATTCAGGTAGTTATAGTCTAAATATAATGAAAAAACACATTTCCATGCTGTTTTTGAATGTTCCTTAGTTGTTTTTTTTATGTAAAAATCGAGTTAAACAAAACACTGTTGGTTATATGGCTATAAATATACTAAAAGCTAATTTCAGTGAAAAAAATTCAAACTTGAGATGCTAAAAGATCAACTCAAACCAATCAAAGTAAAATGTAAAAGTAAAATAGAAATTGAACCATTTGTTCAGGCAAAGACAAAAAAGGTTGCTAGTTTACTTACATTGTATGAATAACATTGTTTATATGCTTTTAAGTATATTCAAAATCAAAAAAATCATTTGGTAACGAGAAAGAAAATTTTAACCTTGTGAGCTACATAAGATTACAGACTTCTCACTTTTAAATAACAAAGACAAAAGAGCTTTAAAGAGATAACTTTGTAAGAACAATCTACTCCATATTATTTGCAAACTGTAAAGCAGGGATTAGAACATCTGCTCTAGAGTTGCAGGGTAAGAAGTTGATCTTTTCATCGAGAGTTCGAATTCCACTGTGGGATGTGAGGAAGCTTTTGGATGAGACCCAATAAATCAAGGTCCTGTGTCACAGTACGTGCTGGCACAAAAAAGATCCCTCTCTGCTTAATGGCCCTGAGTGCCCAGTATAGGACAAAATTTGCAGCTCTACACTGGCAAGTGGTGGTATCTCAATTTGATTGAAAATATTCTCAAGGAATTTTAAACAACATACAAACCTAAAACATGGTTACAGTATATAATTTGAGACAGATTTTTTATGTTTTTTATACAGTTTTACCATCATAAAAATAAATCAATCTACATTTTGATTGTAAACAGGATTCCACACAAAAAAGTTGAAACAAAGTTTTAAAGACATCATGTTTTACTTTGTAATCAAAGTAATTCCTAATATGGGGAACATATTTACCCCTAAAATTGTGTTTGGGACAAAGAAATTCCTAATACATTAAATGTTATATTTCTTCCAAGAAATTAGTAAGAAATTCAAAATTAAATGTCTGTGTACCGGGTACTTCTACTAATCTGCCTTGAATTTTTACTTTAAAAAGTAAAATTACCATAATAAATCACACAAAATAACACATACCTTCTATCCCTCCTGCCATCGCCATTGAAACTCTGGTATAGACAGGTTTAACTGATAAAACATCAGGTTCTGTTTAGAAAGACAATAATTTTAAAATGAGTTATAGCATAGATTTTGTTGTGCAATGGAAGTGCTTAAAAAGTTCAAGAATTCTTAAACGATCGTTATAATTTTGAAAAATATCTCATGGTAAAAAGCAGTATTACAAACTTTCATAATCTTCATCATCTGATTCTGAGAATTTGTCATCCATAACCCCCCTTGGTGGGGGTGGTCTCCTCTCAAGCACCTGTTCTCTGGGAAGATATACAGGTAGTGAGGGTGGTGGTCGTGACACCTTCGTAAGATTCTGTCGATGGGGAGGACGAACAGTTGGTCCTCTTTTCTGAAACTTTTATTTTATGATATATATAAATATTTATATATTTATAAATTCATGATAAAATGAAATCAAAATATATCTTTTGCAAATGTGTCCTTGAAACAATCCCTAAATGAACTAAAAGGATGATACTTCTACTTTTGTATGATAAAACCCTTGTGTTTAACAAAACAGGGATTATAATATCTTGCACTGTTTAAATTTTAAATTACTACAAATAACTTAATTAATATTGCAGATACCTCAATATTCACACTGACTGATATAAAACAGAGAAAAGTAAAAAAAAAACTAGAACTGTCCAATAGGGACAAATACCCCCCGCTGGGTTTTTCAGAGAAGGTGCCAATTCAAAAATACTTATGGATCTAGAGGTGTTCACTATTTACTTACAAAAATTTACAAGACTTAATGCTCATTATGTTTCTTAATGAGTGAAGTGAAAGTGCAACCAAATGAAACATCAATACTAATACATTGTAATTCAATCGTAACATTTCTTTTGATTTCTGCATTAAAGAAATATATTGCAATTATGTGTCATGACACTCTGCAAACTAATTGTTGAAAAAATAATCATTATACAAAATCAAATTAATCTTGATATATCAAATTCATTTTGAAAATAAAAAGCTGGTCATCCGGTTATGAAGTGCTTTGACAGACAATAAATTACAATTAAAAGAATAAGAAAAGAGAGATCTTTAATTCTTGTGCCTTATTCCCTGGAGATTTGATAACACACACACGCTTGATAAGAGATATGCCTTAACAACCTCCAACACCAAACTCATAAATTTATCTGTAACTGGATGCATGTCCAGTCATTATTCCCAAGAGACAAATGAATTTACATTATCTTCGATGTAATGTAAAAACTGTTTTAAACACTTGATGATGTTTCTTTTTTTTAGTTTTAATGAGTTGTTTTAAGCTATACTAGTTCACATTTTTGTACAGATATTCTAGATTCTATCTCTCAAACCTTATAAATGAGCCCAAAATGAACAAGTCAATTTAAATAAAAAGTAAAACCTGTAAAATGCAGAAAAATTAACAAATAAAGTTTAAAATTCCAGGTGCACACCTTTATATGGTGAATAATAAGAGTGCAAATTTTCAGATAAATCCTTGCAATAGTTTGTGAGAAACGGTCTGCACAAGACCACAAAATAAAAATGAAAAAAAAAACACCCGCAAAATTCAAAATAATGATCCAATTAATATGAAAAAAGCAGGTGCACACCTTCATATGGTGAATGATATGTGTATAAATTTTCAGACAAATCCTTCCAACAGTTTTTGAGAAATCGTCCGGACAAAATCTCATCTACACACAGACAGACAGACAGACAGCTAGACGGACATGGTGATTCCAATATACCCCCCCCCTAAACTTCGTTTGTGGGGGGGTATATAAATACTAAATTTATTTTATCTGTAAGTTAATGCCTATAGAAAACCTTGAAAACCCAAAATATTGTTTAATTTTTTTAATAAAATTGCAAAATTTTGATTTTTGTTAAGAGGGCTAAAAAGCAACTTCGGTTCCGATAATCATGATAATGGAATGAAAATCATTCAACCGTTAAACAGTTTTAGCAAAGTAAAAGATGTCATAACTTTTTTGTTTTTGGTGCATAGTTATCCTGTATATAATTTTCACCCTAAAATTAGGGTGTTGCGTTTCTATTGATTGCGAGTAAATATAAATTGTTACCAGGAAATTCTGATAAAAACATAATTAAAACACAGTACTTACTTCTTTTGGTGGTGCTTGTTTCTTTGGTAATTCAACTGTAGAGAAAAGAAAAAGTTGTATAATGAAAATAATTTAACTTTTGAAAGATTTTTATCCAATACAATTTAGAAAATTTTGAAACTTACTAAATGTATCAGTGATATTATGTGATACGTACATGACTCATCATCATCATCAAAAAGACTAAATCCCATGTCTACATCTTCTTCATCAGATTCTAGATTAAAGTAATCAGAATATCATGCAATACTTCATAATCATTTAATACATGAATTTCTCTTTAACTGAACAAGTGACAAAAAAGGGAAAAATTATCTTCAAGTTGTGAGATCTAGTTATCCTTTGTTATCAATGAAAGCATTTTTTTATGATCAATGAAACTATGTTCATCTTACAATCCAAAAAAACTGATAGCTGCCTAGGAGCCCCTATTCCCCATGCACTGGTATACTTAATCTCAGACCTGCTCGGAAAAGATTTCTGCATAGACTAATACTACATCTTATGTTAAGAAAGTCACTAGAGGTCTGGCCCCAGGATCATGATTCATGAAACATTATAAGCTTAAGTCTAAATCTTTCATTTTTTCTAAAATGTTTTATAAGCCAAGCAGACAAAAACTATACTATTTGTCAATATTGCTTTACAAATGTTTTGTTATCTACAATTTAAGAGAATGAAAGAAAAAGTGAGCAGGCTCACATACCCCACGCTCCCCCAAAACTCAAAGTGCTGAAAATCCCGGAAAAAAAATAAAGGAATCGGAGAATTTTCGGGTTATATGCACATCTACAAATTGTGTCCTAAATATTTGCAAAGTTTGATGAAATTCTGTGCAGCGGTTTATGAGGAGTTGCGCTGACAAACTGTTCACCACTACATTCAAGATATCCCCAAAAATCTAACTTGTAAAGTGCCGAAATTCCCAGAAAAAAAGGGATTTGAATTCCCTGGTAATATGCACATCTACACACGGTGTCCTAAACATCTCCAAAGTTTGACAAAAATCTGTGCAGCGGTTTATGAGGAGTTGCGCTGACAAAAAATTCTGTGAAAAAAATAATGGTATCAGAATTTCCTGGTAATATGCATATCTACACATTGTGTCCTATATACCTGCAAAGTTTGACGAAATTCTGTGCAGTGGTTTATGAGGAGTTGCGCTGACAAAAAGGAAGGACTGACTGACTGACTGACTGACTGACGGACGGACGGACTGACTGACGGACTGGTCAAAAACATTATACCTCACGCAAATAGTTGCATAGGGTATAATAATTCAATAATAAATAAATATTTTACTTGGGAATAAAAATTTGAATTAATTAAGTCTAAGTTCGTTTCATGATCCTGGAGCCTGGTTTAAAATGACTCATGTATCCAGGGTTTCTCAGGCTAAAGCCATCATAATCCCACTTGAAATGGACTCAACTAATTAACATTAAGTGCTATGTATTTAAGCTTTCTTCATTATCATAGATGTTCACATTTCTTTGCAAACATTTTCCATTTTAATTCGTCATAGCATTCTTATGAATTCACCCGATTCTGATGCAGAAATCCCCAGTATTTGATGCATAACTCTTCAGGTGCCAAATTCATTTCTTGCTTATGTTATAGTCAGTATGGTATTGTAAATAATTGTTTTTAAATAGTGTACTAGGTAACATTTTATTTTCAGGTTTAAATTGTTGACATTCATAAAAATTATTATTAAATTATTTGTGTTCTTGTTAATATTAATTCATTTCTTGTTCAGGTGCATGGCCAATATTTGCAAGGTTCATAAAATCACTTGTATCCATTCTCATATATGATCCCTGTTGTTTAAGTTATAACTTGAAAGTTCATAATATTAATTTTGTTGCTGCATGGTGACATGGGTTTGTTACTACTCATCTAGTCTTACCTTCCAAAGATGAAGAAAGCTTTTCCAATACTTTTCCTAACACAGGTTTTGCTCCTATAAAAAAAGTAATCAATCCTCAAGACAGGAAACCTTTTCTTATTTATGTTGTGGAAAGTGTGATGAATTCATAAATAAAATATCATTTGTTCTTTAATTTGCCATGGGTAATTTTTGAATTCCTTATATTAGTAAGTTTTTTTAATTTTGCAAATTTTCAAGGGAAAAAATATTAAAAAACCTGAAAACTATAAGACTGAGTGAGCAATAGAATTCAATAAAAGTATATACATATACTACTTATAAGTTAATAGAGCTTTTCAAAATGATAAAAAAAATAGTCTTAAATGATAATTATTATTGAATTCGGATTACTATACAATTATAAGAAAAATTTAATATCTAAGCTACAAGAATCCTAACCTGTGACCTCTTTTCCGACGTACAAGTCTTTCTGTCCCATGCCGACCATCACGCCCTGATGTCGAGGACGTCCAACGGTTGTCTCAAATTCTGCTCGGGGGGCGTCGTCCCCAGCAAACCCCGCCTTCATAAACAGTGAACCCATGTCCATGATAACAGGGGAGGCATCCTTATTAAATAATTTATTCTTCATCAGTCCAATATTAAGACAACTATTTTGCATCTAATGAATATTTTCTGCATTGTCCACAATATCGGGCTTTCTGATGAAAGTAGTGTTATCCCACAGTGGCAAATTCATGTTTACAAGCACAGACCCTGGGCCAGTTAAATGGAAAACAAACATGCAAATACTGTATAAGTGGAAATTTTAGCGAGACACAAATTTAGCGATTTGTCCTATAAAATTGGTAATCTATTTTTAGCGAGATGTTATTTTAGCGTTTTTAAATTGCATACTGAAGAAGCTATTACAAATAAAACGCAATTAATTTTTAGCGACATTCAATTTTAGCGATCTCGGCACCCTCGCTAATAATGCCAAAATTAAATCCTTGCTAAAATTTCTACTTATACGGTATAAAACAGGCAATCAACTAACCATAAGTGTTTGTGATTTCTCAGTTAAATTGTCTAGTTTTTCACCCCTCTCTAGTACTTTTTCTACATTTTCTTTCATTTTAGAGTGGATATCGTCAATCTGAAATTTATGGATTCAAAATAAAACATTATAATTATAGTAAACTGCAGAACAAATACAATAGAATCAGAACTCTTTAGTGCGCAGTGAAGAAAGGTTTCTTTATAATTACATGTAAGCTACCTTAAAATCAATAATAATCTTAAGATGATTGTAAGATACAAATTGATCCATCAAAATATCATTAAGATATAATTATGGTATAAGTGGAATTTTTAGTGAGACGCAAATTAGCGATTTGTTCTCAAATGGTGGCATTCAATTTTTAGCGAGATGTAATGTTGGTGATTTTAAATTACTCACGAAAGAAGCTAATGCATATAAAATGCAATCAATTTTTAGCGATATTTAATTTTAGTGATCAACAGCACCCTCACTAATAATGCCAAAATAAAATCATCACTAAAAATTCCACTTGTACGGTTTATGTCTATTGATTAAAAAGGTAAAATATGATTTTATACAGGTCAACTTGTCAATCATGATCAGCTTTTGAAAAAAAGGCTGATCATTCAACTCAATGAAATTATTCTTTTCAATTGTTAACAAATATTCCATCTGATTTTCAGTTTTACCTTTAGAAATTTATTTTTAAAAATTTATTTTTCATCCTTATTTATCCCTTACGTAAACAAGCATGATAATATTTTCAGCAAATCTTTGTCCACCTTAAATATGGCCTACAGCATGTTCACTGTGTAGCAATTCAGTCATTTTTAAGCAACAAATATCTGTCAGGTATTAACTACAGTACTTAGCTATATATACTGCAAAGTATTCCTTTGGTTTCAATTGATTGAACAAATTTTGTTTCTATACACTCTCAATCTCACTTACATGTAGTAATCATGGGACTAAATAAATATATCTTAATTAACACATACCACAGACTCCTCACACAATTCATCAACGTCCATAGCTTCTTCCTGGGAAGAGAATGAAAAAACATTTAAGAGGCAGTCCACCGAAAAACCAGGCAGTTTTGTATTGATAGGCGGCACATCGAATGTGAGGAATATTTGATATTTTATTGAAAACAATATCAATGTAGTCCAAATGGAATAATGTAATCGAAGATTTGTTTGAAAATTACTTATTTAGTAAAATATCTGTTTCTTTCGTGTTATTGGGTTCCCCTATATAAACCATTGAATTTAGGTCAGAAACAAAGAACTGTAACTTCCAATACATTTTTAACAGTACTATAATTCACGCTGAACTAAATCTAGAAATATTTCATCTTTCTGTTTCAAAAATAAAATCGGTGGGAAAAACACTTTTGAATTAGTTTTCTGGCAAAATATATAGACGTTTTTATGAAATTTTGCAGTGCAAGAGTTATCTCCCGTGGAATCGGTAAATCTGAAACACACCTTACTATCGGAATCCAAGAGAAATATTTAGAATCGACACACTAAAGAAAATTATTAAACAAAAAATAACTACTTTATTTTCAGAATAGAACTCATTTACGCCTTCAAACGTAATATTTGGATAAAAATGGGTTGTATTATTCAGGTTGAATCCACGTTTCCATTGATGCATCAGTGACGTCATATGCCTGACTAATACTGCGTCACAATCAAATAGTTACAAGACTTCCAGAAAAGTTTGTAAATTCTCTGCGTAAAAGTGCTAAGAAAAATAATTAAAAATAAGTAATTTCCCCTTTTCTGTTCAATTACTCTACACAGTGCATTATCCAAAATGTTAAATAATATTTTTATATCTTCATATACATGTTTTAATACTAGGATATGCGCAAAGCTAGTTAATTTTTATAGTGTTTATACCAAATATTTCTTATGTTATTGGGATGTGAAAGTTTTTTTTTCCTGATTATCAAGGAATCGTGAATATTTTAGATTTACGCAAAATTAATTTAACGAAGTTGAGATGTTTACATCATGATACATTTTTTGTAATATCTTTAATATATTTATCTTTGCAGTCAAATAAAAATAAACAAGCAGCGGAAAATATGAAAAAAAAAATCTGATAAATAATTTAAGTTACAATAATATTTATTACGGAAGATTACTGCTGAACTCCCCACTTCAATTTGACACTAAAACGGAAGATGGTTCAGTGAAACGTTTCTGTTTTTTTTTTATTATTTTTTTTTTATAATTAGGGGATCGAAATAATTACACACTCACTTTTAATATGGAGTTAAAATATGTGGCTATGTTGACCAATTCTAAAACGTTTTTTATATTCATGAAACCAGTTTTTGAAAAAATGATGCCATGATCCCCCCCCCCGTGCTTTTTGCTTGCGATTTATGGGCTCTTAAATAATGATGTGTATAAAAGAACTTTTTTTATTTACATAAAATAAGATTTTGTGAAAGAATATATAGGGGAAAAGGATTAACAGATGACGGGTTGAAAAAACTTGGATAAACCCGAGACTATACACATAAAAATATTTTCTGTATTTACACTGTAGGTACGTGCCCCACTAATAGAATTTAACTCCTTATTAATTCCTGAGAAAACATTAATGAAAGAAAAAAAAATTACTTGGAAATAAGATATTTAATGATCTCTCAGCTGCTGCATAATGCATGTACAAACACTAATGTCTTTTTTTAATACAGAGTATCAAGAAATCAAAGATGTTTTACATGCACACTGTAATCTTCAATTCTCGTACGTAAAAGACATGAGGAATTTAGATATATACATATACATTTGAATATAATAACAAAATCTTCTAAAACATTTTACTGACTGAAAAGAAACAAAAGATAAGCATATTATTTCTCTGGTAAATTAAAATGAAAAACCATGTTTAGGAAATATTCCTAAAAACCACACCCGATTGAAATAAAACTGATCCCGATCGAAAATAATTCAAAATTTGTAAAGTTATCAAATTAAAGGCAACTGCCACCTATAAGACATGTATAAAAATAGATTTAGTAAATTTTGAAGTATGTAACAACAAAAGAGCCAAATTTAACAATACAATTATAGTATTTTCTTCTTTATATAATTCCGATCGGAATCGGTTTAATTTGGGAAAAAATAATACATAATAGGTGAATTTGACTCCCTTTATTTCCCTCAATATACCTGTTCCCACCAATTTTATGAAGTGACTCAAAAGTTTGTACTTTGTATTCATAATAACATGAGGAAAAAATTCTGTCATAATAATGTATTGGATTTTATAAAGTATCAAAAATCGGATACTGAATTCAAAAAGTCACTTGTTAAACTCAATTTTGGACCACATTATTTTTTTCTAAAGAAATAAAATTTGGAGTCTTATTCATTATAAAATAAAAGATAAGAGTCTTTCCTATAAATAATATTGATTGACACATTTAGCTTTTGAGTATCTGTTACATATAAAACAAAATAAAAACGTAGTATTTTTTATACCCTAATGTTGACCTTTTTGCACTTAAAATTAGACATTTACCAATAATAGGACTAGAGGATCACTAAAAAAATTTTTGATGTTGTCATGTGTAAACACTTGCTTAAAGAAGTCTACATGCAAAAAATAATTAAAATCCATGGCATGCCATGTGCCACCTATTGCCTGGTTTTTCGGTGGACTGCCTCTTAAGCTAAAGTGACTTTTCTTATAAATCTACAACTTTAAACCAAGAACCATACATCCCACTGGCAGATAGGTGACGTTGACTTAAGGCAAATGTTTGTAATTTACCTAATTTTTAAATATTATTTGTTGAAGATTGCAACACTTCTGACCTGTTACATATACAAATTTTTTAAAGAGCAGTCTTTAATTAACATTAATCAAAAATGTCATATTTTGAACATTCATTTAATGAAAATACCAATATTTTGTTCATCAAAAGGTGAAATTTGAGATGTGTTTCTATCAACGGATGTCTAAATTTTGTTTAAAAATTTTGTTTTAAAAAGTGTTTACCTATCCCAATCCCATGAGCCAAGATTTCAGCAATCTGATGCTGCAGAACAAAGAAAACTAGATATCATTGAGATGGTGGCCATCTCAAAGGACCCAGCTTTCAACAATGAACATGAAAACGTAAGGTACCGGTAGACTAAAAGCCTTAGGGTTTATTTTGAAGAGGAACATTTGTGTAATATAGTAAAAGTAATTTAGTACGACTTCACGGATATTGCGTATTTACAGATATTAATCAAAGTTATCTTGTATCCCCCGTTATATAAATTTACTGGAATTAGAGAGAAAAATTATGCAACAAACAAAGATTTTAAACAGAGAGGCTAATTCTGACCATGACCTAGACACTTCAACCAAGCTCACTGCACATCCATTGACCAGTGGAACTCTGTGAGTGAAGTAATTTCCAAATTGGGCCAAGAGAGAGAAAATATGCACCTGACAAGGATTTTTCATAAAATTCTGCTATGACCTTGACCTTTGACCTAGATATCTGGTTCAAAGTCACTGCACACCAGTTACCCAAAAGCACTCTGTGGGTGAGGTATGAGCCAGATTGGGCCAAGAAGAAGATATGCTCCAGACAAGAGATATTGGATGGACAGCTAGATGGACGGACAGACTGATCATTATAGAGCGCCCGCCAAGCGGGGCCCTAATTAATGTGCAACTTTGCCTTGACTGTTCTAAAAAGGATTCAAAAGAATTACCTTTTCCCACTGTACATCATACCTCACCCTTATTCTGTCCCCTGGATTCAATTTTTCAACAATTAAATTAGATCTCAAAGACATTATGAAGCTGTCACTAATATGCTCTAGCCCAAATAGTATATGTCATTGAGTAGATTTTTCTTGGTCATGGTTGAAATAATTGCATGTGTCTTCATTACTTTTCCTGCCGTGTGTAGGAACTACTAATTCTTCCCCACTGTGCATATTTTGTGTCACTAAGTTGACTGATTAACAATTAATGTTACACAGTTACAAACATATAGATGAAAGAGGCTTTTGTATCAGAAAACCTAACCTTTATAAGCCAGTATTTGGGGTAAAAATATGTCAAAGGAATTTTACAAAATTAATTGAACCTTTTGGGGTTTTTTAGAGGATTGGGTGGATGTGGCCACCAGACTTTATTGATCTCTTTAAAAGAAGAGCTCTCTATATTAAAGATATAAACAATATTAAAGGATCAAATTTTAAAAGTAAAAAGTTTGATGAAATTTTTTCTTTGCCAAATTATTTTCAATGGCTTATGAGACATTTATCATTTCTAAAGATTTAAGTTATACATGTATGTAATGGTAAATTCTTTGTTGAGCCCCTGCCTCTTCAAAATGATGATAATTACTGTAAACATATTACTTTTGGCTGTGTATTCTTCTTAGCGTTTTTGGCGGAAAGGATCTTCCGTTTATTAAAGTACAACGTTAAATGTCTTGCTCATATATTTATATATGCACTAAATCAAATCTATGCTAACTCATTCAAAAATCAATTTCCACCAAATATCGTACGCACTAAATGTAATACATTTACAGTATACAGTGTTCTGAAGGTGACCCCTGTATCCTTGGCCTATCTGTTTTTAACAGCTAATGATCGTTTATTATAATTTTAACATTCAGACATTGTCTTATAAATATTAAATCATGGTGAAATCCTTAACATAATTTTTAAAATAATGTTCATCTTGAAAAAAAAAAAATGACTGCCACTGTGTTGTCAAAACGTCTATATTAAGCTATCCTTTCAGAATATGCACTGACCAGTATGATCCAGGAACAATATACATGTATGTACTTATTCAAAGCATATTATTTTTGCTTGTTACAAACATACATTTTTCTACTGTAAACGATTTTTATTTGTGTGCAAGAAATATCTATTCAGCAAGTGTTGCATCCTACTATAATCTCAAGAATATTACTTGCTGTGAACCATTTATTTTGCTTGGTATTTAGTATGTTTCATCATTCATGAAAATATATTGTGACAATTACAAATTGGTTTCATATTCATGAATCGCAAATAAAAATATTACGCAAATAATAGTTGATTTAAATTACATTTATATTCAGGTTTCCACAGATAATCATGAAAAGTGAAATGAATAACTCTAACTTAACATACTTCGGAAGCAGGTTCTGCACATTCAAAGGCTTCATATGCTTCTTCATAAACCTCGAGATCATCCTGAAAATTAAATAAAAATAAATATGCCATTGGGTAAATTAACTTTTTGTAACAACCGAAAACTTCTAAGCAACTTCCATATTTGAATAAATCATACAAGTATTGTATTTTGATTGAACAAATTCTGTCAATCATTTTTCAGAACTCAAAGAAACACAAGAAAAGAAAGATAAAATACTAACAGAGAGATTAAAAAACAACTCCATCCTTCTCATTTAAGACATTTTACCGAGAGAAATTGATTTGGGTTCAATTTTCTTGGATGTTTATACTCTGGCAGAGTCAAACCTGTATATGAAAAGTGTTGGTCAAGTTTCTCCATTGAAATCCAAAATTAGCCAGATTTCTGTATTTCACAATGTGAAAATCTAGATTTACTGTTCTTTATTATTTATAATAAAAAATACAAAAAAAAAAATGTTTTGCGTTATATTAAAAATCTTGTACATGTACCCTATAATGTCCAGTGGCCTTGATTTGAACAAAATTGATCCCATGAATATATCTACTGTAAAAGCACATATATTCGTAGGGGATTAAATTTCATTTATTTCGTTGTTAACAATATCTAACGAAATTAAATCCCACATGAAATTTTATATGACTATATATTGAATAGGATTAGTCTCAAAACAATGAAATTAAATGCCCATAAAAATATTTTTGATGACAAAATAATGAAATTTTTGCCCAAGAAAATTTGTGCTGCTACAGTATTTAAATACTTCAATACTTTTATTTGAGCAGGAGAGTTTCAAAATATTCCTGTATATATAGCATCATTATTATATAACTAACTGAAGTCAATTTATTTTGAATTTTTACTGAAGATTTTTTTAGGTAGCCTAAGGGTGGGGTGGGGTCTTTGCTTTAACATTAATAGGTACAGATTCTTGCTCCAGCAACACGTTAATAAGCCTTTGGCTGAGGTGAGCTACAAGGTATGGTTCATTATAATACCAAACAATTCACTCTAGAAAAACAAGCCTATTCATTCATATGGCTCAACTGTACATACAGTAAAACTTATCTAATCTGGATGCTGTGTATTCCGAAATCTTGCCAAACATGATGTTAACTATAACTTCTTTTTAAGTAAATTTAGCTGTTGAAAATTTTGTTAACTTCTATCATGGAACAAGTGGTGTTATACCTACTGTATCAGTGGAAATTTTAGCGAGACACAAATTTAGCGATTTGTCCTTAAAAATGGTTGTTTTATTTTTAGCAATAAGTAATTTTAGCGATTTTAAAATGCTCACAAAAGAGGCTATTACAAATAAAATGCAATTAATATTTAGCAATATTCAATATTAGCATTCTTGGCACCCTCACTAATAGTGCCAAAATTAACTCCTTGCTAAAAATTCTGCTTATACAGTAATAAGAACTCACTGGACAAAACCTCCTCCTCTGCACTGCGACGATAAAATTTCATTTTTACTCCTTCTTCCTCGAAATTTCTTCCTCTTCCTCTCCTGTTCCCGATCCTTCCTGTAAAGAGGTCAAGAGGTCAAAGTCAATATAATCCTCATGATGTCTGTACATGCTGCAAATAGGCTCTATACAATTGAAGATTTGGCTTTTGATCTGCTCAACTGAGATAAATTAAGGCTCATAAGTGAGCTGTTTTGTTCAGTTTCCTAATAGTATGTTTTCCTGTCTGTTTGTCTGTCATGTGTTATCTGTATACTTTTTCACACTTTCAACTTCTTTTCAAGGACTACTGAACTTGCATGCTGCATATAAATTCTTCATTCTGCTTTGATGTTTAATCAGAGATACTTCTGACTAACTAGGGCGGGTATTGAGATATATTGCGATATTTTTAACTGAGTGTATATTTGTGATATGTATTGCAATATTTTAAAAGTAATTAAAAAGACATTTTATCACTTTATTTACTTCAATTTACATACAGAATGTACATACCTATGATATGAAACCAACCCTGAAAATAATCTGGTTGATATCAATTACTGTAGATAATTTTCATTTTTCGCAACACCTTATTTTCGGGAGATAGTCATTGCCTCTTTATTTAGCGAGACAATATTTTCACGAATTGTGGTCATTACTCTATATAATTTTAAGGAATTCTATAATACGCGAGCATGAAATTTTTGCGAGCATTCCGTCTCACGTAATTAGGGGAAAATAAAGTTCTCGCGAATAAAGTGATTTACAGTAAGTAATGCTCTGAAATGCTCCCACAAAACAACTTCTGTCTTACTGTTTGGCTTAAAAACCAACTTTCATAAAGTCCATTTTTATATAAATGATAAAGTTCCTTAATTTAAGCATATTGCCAATTTCATATGGATATTACAAAATCGTATTGCAATATGTTATTTTTTGTCATAATGGTATCACAATATATTGAAATATTGATATTTTTGCCCAGCCCTATATGACTGACTGCTAAGCTGGTCTAAATATAATTCATTAACCCACTCCCTTTAACTCTTTTTCTCTCTCTCTTTCTCGAACATGTAACAGGTATAATTCCAATTGTACTGGTTTTGTTTTTATCATGATGCAAATTTAAGAATTTTGTTTCTGGGTATTACATCTTAACAATGTGAATGAAAAATTGTTTTATTGATGCATGTATCTCACAAAATCTAATTAATTAAAACAGTTACTGCATTTTTTCTTCATATATTGGAGCCATATTTGATTGCAATACAGGAAGAACAGGATATTATTAGTTACATAGTCTTTTAGTGACAGGGTATGGGATGTTACCTGGTTAGTAAATTTCATACCTGGCGAGGCGGAGCCGAGTCAGGTATGAAATTTACTAACCAGGTATCATCCCATACCCTGTCACTAAAAGACTGTGTAACGAATTTACCCCACCGATGTAACATTTATGTTTTATCTGTAGTTTATAAATGGTTTTCTCTGCTAAATCCTTCATCACGCTTATACTATGCCTCTTATGACGTCACGTTTGTGTTTGTGACGTAATACATCGACCGGGTATAGATTACAACTGACCGGGTATGGATTTACAACTGACCGGGTATAAGAAATCCACCGCCTTCACGTGACATACTTCAACCAATCGTAAGCCAGGATTTCACGGAAAAATTATCAGAGGTGGGGTAAATATAATATACAGGCATGGAATAAATGCCTCGCCCACCAAAAATAAACTTTTCTGAATATTTAACCCCCTTCAAATAATTTCATCTTTACCTTTTCCTTGACTATGACTAAATTGTTAGAAATGCTTGATTGTTTAACTTAGTTTTAGTTTTTAATGAAAATAAAAGAATTTTACCTCGGCGGACGAATATTCTTCTTCCATCTCTTCTTCATCACTTGAACTCTCATCCTAAATAGAAAAAAAATAAATACTGTAGAAGTACTTTTTTCTGTGTGGTATTATTAATCTACACTATGTATGTGGTAACAAATTTTCGGCATAAATTTGTCCAAGCGTACTCAATATAAATGAAAGGTAATACAGTGGACCTTCAGATATCCGGACGCCAGATATCCAGATGCTTCAGTATCCAGACGATTTTTTATCGGAACGAAATTTTTAAATGTTATTCTGTCTTGTTTAATGGGTGATTCAGATATCCGGATGCTTCACATATCCGGACAAATAGGACTGGGAACCAAAGCATCCGGATAAATGAGGGTCCACTGTACAGTATATACATGTAGTAACAGTCTAAGAAATCTGCATGATTTTCTACACGCTGATTCAACACAAATTAAGATCCCGTTGAATAATGACCCATGGAAAAAAGTAAGTTTACAGTATATCGTATAAGTGAAAATTTTAGCGAAATAATGATTGACCCATGGAAAAAAGTAAGTTTACAGTTTACCGTATATTAAGTGGAAAGAACTGCGAACGATAGTATTGTTCTCCCGCCTACCTCCAAGTCAATTTTCAAAAGTTAATATATTTGATTAATTTTTTATATTCTTTTTAGATAATTATATGGATTTTCATAAAACATTACTTATTTGGGAAAACAAAGAGAGATAGCTCTAAAATTTTGGTAAAACTTGTGTTTTTCAATATAGAAATTAACGGAAAAACGGAAAATATTTTTAAAACATCCCCCCTCCGTGTCACAAAAATTCCTTTTTACAGGTAATTTGAAATGTTATTTCACAAATTCATACGAAAACTTTTTGTGTGACACAGGGGGGAACATATTTTTATTGACAAAAATCGATAGAAATGCTTACCGTAAAATCCCGAGTATTGTGCGCATTGTTGTAAAAGACGCACCTCCAACTTTGGGGGTAAAAATCCTGAAAAAAACGCTGGTCCTATATAAAAAGCGCATCCCAAAAACGCAGAAATCGGATGTGACATTACTTGTTTTAGTACATTAACTTAAAATAAAATAAAAAATTTACGAATCACAAACGAGAGTAGAACGTCAGTTTTTTTCACTTTACATATATTCAAGTGTGCATGAATGAACATTTTAATTTGATCTTTGTAATAGTTATCTAACAAGAGGTAATAAAACTTGATTATTTTCTTTTTAATTATTTCCAATCCAAGCGTGTTATGAATTGGGTCATACCCAAGCGATATTAATGTCGAAAAGTTGGCTTTAGTAATTAAACAGCTCTTGGTATCCATTGATAATTTTCTTGGTTGTAATTGACCGTTTTAACAAAAATGTTTATATGTGCTTCCACTGCTTAGTGTTTTAATAACGCAGGTGTTGAAGTGATAATTTTTATATAAACAATGGTCATGCCACTCATGGCCTACGTCACAACTTAGACTGAAGTTAAATATTGCAATGACGCAGCAATAGAACTGCTAACAATTTGTAACTCAAATCACATATCTTAAATTAAAAACATAAAAGTAAGTTATAGAAATAAGAATAAATCAGAAAACATCAAAAAGATTATAGCTGTTGACTCATTTATACCTCACCTCACCTGTCCTCTTCGTGCCCGCTGGCACATAAGGCCCCAATACACTGTCTCCACCTGTTTCTGTCTTTG